AGTTAGAGGAACTTGAGATAAGTAAAGAACAACATTCCAGAAATAATAGAGAACTGCAGACAATGCTGCCAATTTTCTTCAAAGGCCCGCGCTACAACCTTGACAAAGAAGGTGTCCCGGATAGTAAAACTATGCGCTTCACCTTTGCTGCAATGTCAAGAACAGCTTTTATCTGTAAACAAACATGATTAGATTAGCATATAGTAAAGTCTCTCTGCAAGTTTAGTACACTTCATTAATTACTAGGAAAGTTGCAAATGAGCAATCTAGGAGACAAAATTTGAATACAATTAGTATCTTTAAACCACCAGTCATCAGAGCTGAAGACAACAATATGTATACAGATGACAATTTAGGAAGAAATTTTTGTTCCCTTAAATTAGTATATATTGCCCATAAACCACCATCCTAATTCAAAGACCGGAAAAAATTCTAGGCCGCAAAAATTATGCATTTCATTTCCCAACTTATGGAGGTTGGCTTCACTTATCTATCTAGCCAGATAAGAATTTCATTTTCTAGTAAAGACAATAATAAACGGTCAGTCTAAATTTTGGAGCAATTTATACCACCAGGGTCTCATTAAACCAAATTTTATAAGAGTCATCAGAATCATTTGATATTTGATATGAAAAGGAATATGCTTTACCTCTCTAGGTTCTGATGCTTTCTTTGTACACCGTACATGGTGGGATTCATCAACAATTAAGAGAGCCCATTCTCGGTCAAGCATGCTCTTATGCAAACGGTGAAGCATTGTATACGAAATAACCACAACTCTAGGCCATCTCTTTAAATTGGCTGGATTGTTTTCGTGACCAAATACTGGAGTAATAAGAATGTGTAAGAGTCCATTCATGTTTTGCTAGTAAATCTAGAATATGGATACATAAAACAATGTATCAAATGAATTTTCTAGGTTATAATGAGTTCACAATTCATTCACCAGAAATGCAAGCATAAAGAGCACCGGCAGATAAAAAAAATTATGTCAAAGAATAGTAGGTTTTTGGCTGGCTTGTTAAAAGTTATAAAGCATCAGTTCTAAAAAGAGAACAGAAAAACAAATTCTGAGATGATATATGCTTCACAAAATTAACTTTAACTAACACCACATCTCACCCCTTTTTACTAACAATTAATCACACTTTGTAATCATGTATCTACATATATTGCATATGCGCTCACTACTCTTATAGAAGGGACTAGGGAACATATTCAACTAAGGAAATAAGCTCAAAGAACGATACCTGGGGTAAATTTGTGCATAGAAGAGGCCTAAAAATAGAACTCTCCAAAACCATGGGCATTTTTGTTTTCTTAACATTATTGGAACCAAACGGTTAATAACAAAAATCCATTTACTCTGACTAGGCACTCTTAAATTACTTTTAATCTTATGTATTGCTATTATATTAACAAAAGGCAAAAACGACAAATCATACAGCATGGAATCAAGAAACTATTATTCTTCACTGAATACACAAGATTAAACCTTTTGTAGCAAAGTGTTTTCCCTGAGAATAGTTGTCTTTTCTTATAGTACCTACCTTCCCCATTATTCTCCAACTTAAATAAGAATAAATTGGAAACAATATAGTACACACACACCCCACCCCACCCCCCCCCCCCCCCCCCCCCCCATTCCCCAACTTAAACTTAAAATAAATTGGAAACATTAAAAAAATATTACCTAGATGGAAGTCAGCAGGCAAGCAAAAAGGAAGCCAGCGCTCTAATTCTTCTGCCCAAGTATAACGCAAAATAGCTGGGCAAACAACAAGGATAGAACCTTCACTCATGAAACAGCATGCAATAGCAATAGCCTGGGAGGAAAAGTTTTAGCATATTAAATCTTATATCTTCATGGAAACTTAGGGGAAAATAAGAGGAAAAAATTCAAATGCAGGAGATCCACCTGTTTGTGTATAAGTAATAAAGTTCAATCTCTGTGTGTGTGGTTATGAGAAAGCTAAAGAATATTGTAGATGTTATCCAAAGCAGCATTGTAGCATTCTCACTCACTAAAAGTACATTACAATGTCTAAGTGCTGACTCAATGCATTGAACGGTTAGAATGTCAAACCTAGCACCATGAATAAGAATCAGAAGGAATATAAGTTTACTTAATATAAAACTACCTGGAGTGTCTTTCCCAGGCCCATTTCGTCGGCAATAAGACATCGTCCACCCCTTTGCAAACCAAATCTAACACCGTCAAGTTGGAAAGGCAAGAGTGCATCCAATAGATTCTTCGGTAGCTTCCCAATCAACTCATCAACCTTATCATCTGACAAGTGTTCTGGTCTGCATGGTATCCATTTACCAGAAATAAAAGAATGTGAAAGTCTCTCTACAACATTAAGAGTGCCCCAAGGTATCTCTTCAGTGTCAATGCCCTTGTTGCTCCTTAAACATTTCAAGACTGCATTGTAATCACTCAGCTTGTAAACACAGGCCTTTCCACCACCATGATTCTGCGTGTAGTGGGATGGCATGACCTAAGACAATTCCAAAAACAAAAACAAAAATTTATACACATATATAAATACTGAATACCAAATTTCACAGAACCAGAATTCAATTTCCTTTCTTTCCAATTTGTTCCACCAAGTTTTTGTCACCACCCGAAAAGGAAACAATAGAGACACACTTACATAAGCCAAGATATCACTTAGTCTCCTTAAGCACTCCTCCTGCCCCGGAAATGCAAAGCCTTGTACGGGAACTGGGGTAGCTGAGAAAGAATCCGGGGAGCAAATTTCGAGCCTGACCCGGAACCTCGTAGGCAATTGGGTATTTATAATCAGGTTGACATGGGAAAGTTCTGGCCTTGGATCGGAGATACAGCGAGTGACGTTTGAGGTGAGGTCGGGAGAGAGCTTTCGGCACTTGAAGAGCGACCATGGGTTATGTTGCTGCTGAAGATTGGAGGATTCGCTCAATGCTTTGCGTTTTTCCAAGGCTGCTAAGCGATTTGCTTCGGCTCGTTTTCTTTGCTCTTCTGTGATTTCCATTTTGGGTTTAGGGATTTGAGATACAGTGAGGGTTTCGTAAAGGGCAAAAGGGCGGGAAATGGAACGATGGAAGCCGAAGAAGAAGAAGAAAATAATCGGAACAAAAGTCAGCACGTGCCAAGCATATTGTCCTCAACTGCAAAAGGACCAATTAACAATTATTTTCAGATATTACGCCAATTCGCAAATATCACAAACAATAAGGGCCTTATTGACTATCAATATTTCGTTTTTGATATTAGTGACCGTTCGGAATTGTTTTTTAGCCCTTTTATTAGAAGAATCTCGAAATTTTTATTACAAATTCAAGTGTTTGAACTTTGAATACCAAAAAGTGTTTTATGAATCAGAGTCACTTTTAAATTTTATTTTTTTAACATAAAGAGGAATTGTATAAAATAAAAGAAAGAGAGAAAAACATAGTACTTTAGAAAGGAAATCGAACTTTAAAATTTAAGATGAAGAATATAATATATTTTATCGTTGATTTTTTATTATCAGTAATCATAAAAAAGATGTGGATTAGGGCCAAAGTAGACTTGCTTACGATTTTGTTGTTGTCAGTGTTTACATCTAGAATTACATCATTTTATACTTTTAATTAGTTATCCTTTAATATAGATTAACACTTCACTCAGAGGTCTTGGGTATACTTTGCTGCTTTTTTTTTTTTTTTTTTTTTTTTTTTTTCTCATTAGCTCAAAATTGAGTTGATCAAATTTAGCTCTCACTTGATCATCACAACTCAACACCTAGGAACGGCTTCCTGTCTATGCATGAAAACCCCAAAAACCAAGCAAACCCAGATTCTCTCAATGTTTGACAATCAAGTAACCCAAACCCATCAAAAAAAGAAGTAACCCTAACCCAATGACCTTATCCTTGTCCAAAACTACGCAAACCCAATAACGCACATCTGCTAGTTCTCCACCAACTTCCAAACCTTGGCTCATAGATTCATATTGTAAGTTGTTGCTTACTCTGGTGGGCCAGCAGAATCCGTTGTTGCTGTTATACCATTCCCTTCCAATGGAATAAGGAATAAAAGAACAGCTGCGAATCCATTGCTGGATTTCCATCTCCATTACCAAACTTCAAGAACAATACTGCACTTGGATATAATATGAAAGATGGTTTTGTGCCAGAGATGTCTTGAACAAACAGAAAGAAGAGCAGAGAGAATAAAAAATGGAAACAACTTGTTGTATTTTGGAGAAAAGAGAGAGGATGAAGGAAGATCCCTTTCTTCCTTCTTCATAGATTCATGCAAACCGCAAAGCATATTTCCCCTTTGCTTGCTCACATGTCTCTCTGCATGGGCAAAATTTGAGATAACCGATATCACAGCCTGTGCTGCTATTTTCATTGCAACCAAACACTTATATATGTGAAGCCAGGAAATTCGGACAAAGAATCCGCAACAGTGGTTTTAGACAGCAATGATACTTTTATCAAGCAAAAGAGGTACCTTCGAACCCTATTACTGATGACTTATAGTTTCTTGCCCTCTCCTTTGTCAAAATTTTATTCAACTCAGGAACAATAAAACCTCTAATTTCCAGGATACAGTTAGCATATATATGCTTGGTTTCTTTCACAAAACGTTGGTTTCTGCTGCTTCTGCATATTATCAATATTGACGGAAACTCGAACAGATTGATGACCACTTTGCTAAAGTGAGATTTTCGGGTCCATAACCAAACAAGCAGGAAGGATCAAGATCACACTAAAGAAAGAAAGCCACCACCTCAACAAGCAGAATCTTTAGGTAGGTATATGCAGCTAGACTTGCAATATTGTGAAAGCTATTCTTTTATTTATGGCTTAGTTGAAAACAGAATGCTCTGTTCTGTTCTGTTTTGTTGTGTGGTTGATCTATGGAACAAAGAGAACTAAAAGCATAAGAATGCTCAAGAAACTTCCACCGACTATTTTTTGTAGATAACAAGGGGCAACACTGGTTCCCAAGGCAGTGCGGGGAAAATGAGTCATTATTCTGATGCACAAGATGTCGAGTTTTCAACTGCAGTTGCAGCAGCTGCATTTGCTATTCACTCCAATGAAGAAGCTAGATTACAGTATCAAAAAGGGATGAGGGAAAGCCTTCAGATCTCAAGGACGAAGACTTTGCAGGATGCCATGGCCGGGCGGCCAAGTTCTGGTGAATTGAATAGGCGATTATCAAACAAAGAAGCAAAGAATGCTGGTACCTGACTGCATATATTATTTTTTTTCATAATAAAATGAAAATGTTTTTGAGTACTAACAGGTTATATACTTAATAGGTGAAGCTTCAATGAGAAAGCCAGTGGGGCAGGATCAAAGAACATTAAAGAGTGCTTTTCCATCTAGGTATCCGAATCGTGCATCCTCTACAAGGCCTTCAACTCCTGCAGATGGATACCAAAACCGAAAGGGAAGTTCAACAGGACATAATACTCTGGAAACTGAAGCAGATGCTTGGGAGAAAGCTCAGATTAAGAAGATCCAGAGGCGGTAAAAACCAATTTTTCGGTGGTTCTGTTATTATAATCTTTATATAAAAAAATAGTCATTGTTGAAAGCTTGCTTAAATGCTGCTTAAATTTCTAAGGAACACTTCAGTTTCTTCCTTTTGAAACGGTAAATTGTCATTTTCAGGTATGAGAAAGTGAAATCTGCAATTCTTGCTTGGGAACATGAGAAGAAGATGCAAGCAAAAATTAAGATGGAGAAGAGAAAGGTACAGTTTAACAATCATTGTTTTTTAATTTAAGTTTGTGAACACCAATGACGAAGATCACCCCTCAATGAGTTGTTGAAATTGCAGAGTGAATTGGAGCAGAGAAGAGCAAGCAACATGCAACATTACCAAATCAAGCAAACAAGAATTGACCAGATAGCAGGAGGAGCAAGGGCACAAATGGAAGAGAAAAGAAGAAATGAAGAGTCCAAGGTGAGAGAAAAGGTTAAAAGGATTAGATCAAAAGGCAAAGTTCCTGTTAAATGTTTCTGCTTCACTTGCTACTAGGAAGGGAATCACTTGGACTTGAGAAACTTTGTCTTGGAGCAATGAAGCTGCCACTGGATCTTCTGCTGATTAAATCTGTACATTAACTATATTATGGTTTCCTAACAGTATATCCTAACTTACTTTAATTTGTAAATTATGTATAAAGATTTCGGATCATCAAAGTTCGAAAATTGTGTTGTATGCGTTTATCCAATAAAACTATAGCCAGCCAAGAAAAATATTACTACAATTTGGCCCTTTGATTTCATGAGGACTTGATACAAAAGATTCTGCAGGCACAGAGAATTGCATGCTGAGATACTTCTTTGCACTTGATGTCTCTCTAAGCAGATATTCTTAACCTAATATCAACCATTAAGCTGATACTGCCTCGCATACGTTCAAAATTCTTATTTGTTACAACTTTGCCACTATAATATCATAAAGTATTGAAATGGATATGAACAACTTTTCATTTGACGTCCCTCTAAGCAGACTTTGATTTGGATATTTAGATGGGACATTTTATACATTTATCATTTTGAGGGCAAGGACTCAACAGCTGGGCCATTATGCTGGATGAAATTACCTTCATAACAAGATAGCAGCATCCACCAAAAATGACATTGTTTCCAACTGCTACCTCTTCCTCTAGCACCCCACCCCTATCAGATGTATACATCTTGTCCTCATACTTTGGACAAAATAAATTATTAACCTTGCTAATCTGGTAGTTATTAACCTAAATTAGTTATGTACTTGGAAAACCTAACACGGTAATCTTGTCTGGAAAGCATTTCAACGTTGGCTTCAACTAGTATATCTATGCATCAGATTTATGAAGGCATTTCCTCTAGATTGACATGGAAGATAAGTCAATGTAAAACAGGATATATTAAGCTATTATTTTGAAACATGGATGCATATACAGCCAAATTGTTTGCTGGAAGATAATGGAAAAGGAGAAATAAAGGTAACCAAAGTCGCATGAGAGGGAAGGCAATCAATTTAGACCACGAAAGTATGGTTAAGCATGACTTTAAGTGGACCTGAAGGTGTGGTTGGTTCCCACCAAAATCACCATCACAAGGCAAGGTCTAAACTCTAGCATCACTAATGTCTGCCAGTAGAGCCTATAGCTTCAGAAAATGCAAGAAAAATAGGAGAAATTGTTCCTGAAGATGGAGCACAGTGGCCCCAGCTGTCAAGGTTATGTTGGACAAAAAACAAAGAATGGCCTCTATTTTTCAAGCTAATCAATCATCTAAATAGGCTAGCTAACACTAAACTAGAAAGGACATAACACTTGTGTGTTTAGACTATCTGAGTATTACATACATATACATAATATATATATGTGTGTGTGTGTGTGTCACATGTGTATAAAATCGTCCAAAAGTCATACTTGGTCTCAAGTTGCAGCAAAAGATAGAGATAGATAGAGAGGGAGGGAGAGAAAGAGAGATTTTCAATTTCAAAACAAACTCTATCTGTCAAATTTAATGTTTTCATAACTTGCATTGCATGATATGATTTGAATCAACCAGACGTGTGGTTGTCTTGAAGGGCACCATGATGTGCAGATTGCCCACTTACCAGGGCCATCATTAGGGTAAACTATTTTCACAAAACCAATTTCCCAATGTGACCAACTTTTTATCATTGCTTCACAAAACTCGAACATTAGTTCGAAAATCATGATCGAGTTAGAAAATTTTGAACATTGGTTTTCAGAAAATGCATTTAACATTTGTTAATCTCTCAAAGATGACATGAAGATCCTTTGAAATATATATTGGTCCAGGGAAAGGGAAACGGTGGAGCCAAAGCATATCCGATTCCTCTCAGGCTTCTTTTGGCTACCACATGTTTTGTGTAAAATCTCCATCACAACAAATGTGAGTGTGACACCAAAAAAAGGGACCAGAAGACGATGAAATAAGAGAGACTAGTTGCTATTGTCCAAACTCAATCTCAAACTCATCCATTTTCTTCCTTTTTTTAAGAGAGATCTAGAATTATCAATGAGTGAGTGTAGACTGTAGAGTTACCAAATTGGAAGAATATTCAAAGGCACCCTCTAGACAAGAACAAGTCGAAGGAGAAGAGAGAAACAGATCCTCTCACGTGCACATGCAGCAGAACCACCCCAACACCAGTCATCATGTCCCCTTGTAAGCACCATCCTTCTTCATATTAACTATATGAGGTTTTCTCTTTCTTAATTTCTGCTTTTTATATGGAGTTTTGATCAACGTGCATGGTAGATAGAATATAATTAACCCAACTGTGTGTGTTTTCGTTCTCTTTGATTTTCTCCACCATGCTAATTTTGTTTGTCTTTGTTTTTCTTTCTTGTTCAATGCCATTTACATCGTTACAAGTCACAACACTTACATGCTTCTTCAATGTTCTGCAAAACCCACTTCCATTGTTCTGTGCTCTATATCAATCTTCCTTTTACTTGCACATAATTTACAAAAATGCTTGAAAAGTACAGGTCCAACTATGACGTTAGAGAGCTAAAATTGGAAAACGGCCAATTGGCCATGCATGGCCTTGGTGGGCTTCTTCCCACATCCCAAGCGAAGCACACATGGGGCAGGGCTGGTGACACACTAGAATCCGTGGTTCATCAAGCTACTCACCACAAACGTGAACCAAACTTGATCCACAATGGCCAGACACCGGCCAACATAAGCTCAATGGTTGCATCCTCCGGGCGAACATGGACTGACGAAGGAGGCCAGGTACCGTTGGCAGAGGGGTGGATGAGGAAACATACTCGATCTGACTCCGATTACCATGGAAACAATTTTAGTGGTAGTACTACCAGCATTCATGAAGAGCATGCAGATCCCAGCACTTGTGCTAGTCCTAGTCCTAGTCCTAGTGCTAAATTGTGCAGGGACAATGAAAAAACTATGACTACATGGGCTTCGTTTGAGTCTCTTCCCAGCTTGAAGAGTACCAAAAGCCCCGACGAGGATTCAGCCTCTCACGGGGGATTGGTAATATATGCATGTATATATACATATATATATTTTAATCAACTTTTATTTTAAATAATGTTACATGCATCGTATTTACATGTCACATATGTGACAAATTGTACTTTTTCATTTAACAGGAAAACCAAGATGATGGCCAAGAGACCACCAAAGATGGTGAATCAGGTCGTTCACGCTCCACAAGACCAAAGCGTGCTGCTGCTGTTCATAATCAGTCAGAGCGGGTAACAATTTAATTTTGGTCACCCCAAAAAGGAAAAGAATGCATTTTGTCTGACAATTAATCCAAAATAATTTTCTACGGTGTGATGATGTTGTAGAAACGAAGAGACCGGATAAATCAGAAGATGAAAGCTCTGCAAAGGTTGGTGCCAAATGCAAGTAAGGTGAGAAATGTTGACAAGTGCTTAGGATCATAATTTGTTTGGGAACTATCCTGTGTCATCCTTGGCAAACATTAATTTTTTTCCACTTGGTATATTAATTACAGACTGATAAGGCTTCAATGCTTGATGAGGTGATCAAATACTTGGAACAACTTCAAGCTCAAGTCCAAATGATGAGCAGTGTGAGAAATATGCCTCACATGAATATGAATATGAATATGATGATGCCTCTAGGAATGCAGCAGCAGCAGCATCTTCATCAAATGTCATTCTTGGCACATATGGGCATGGGTGGTAATGTTGGTCCTCTTGGGCTAGGAATGGGAATGGGAATTGGAATTATTGACATGAGCAACAATATGGCACGCATGGCTGCTCATGCTCATCATCAATCCATTCGCCTGCCGATTCCTCATCCTACTCCGGTTGTGGCGGCAGCTCCTACTTTCATTCCACCCTTTATGGTACCCCCATTGATGCCACGACACCCTCCTTCTCAAGCAAAGCCTGACCCTGCTTGCACCAATGCTTCAGACTCTTTGCCTGATCCATATGGTGCCCTTCTAGCACAAGTATGTTTTGCACAAAAATCTATGGGATTGGGCAACACCTACTATGAAAAATGACTGCTAAATAATAGCCCAAATATGTGAGCAAATTATATATGGATATCATTAGAGAATCCCTCTAAGAAGAAGCAATGCTACCAAAGTTAATTTTCAAAAAATTGAAATGACCCCTTTCACCAAAGTTAATTTGTCTCGTTAAAAGATTTTTTTTTTGGGTGAGTTTCTTTTACTTAATAATCAATTGATTTGCAGCAATCAATGAATATGGACCTGTTCAATAGGATGGCAGCACTATATCACCAACAAGTCAATCACACAACAGCGGCAACAAGCAGCCCATCACAGTCAAACCATGTGCAAGGGAACTAATTAGAGGAACTTGCCCAACTTAGAAGACGAATATTGGAAGCACAAGAAGTTCAAAAAGAAAAACTTCAAAGATTGCCTGCCTGGCCTAGTTGATGGTGAAATGTGACTTTTATCATTATCTATATATTAATTACTAAGCTATGCCCTCAAGACATCAATCTAATAAAATGTACGTGCCATTTCTGATGTGAGTTTTGAACCATAACAATTAATTTGATCTCAAGACATCAATGTACTTATATAATGGTGCCTCATCAATTCAAATTGCCATGGTAATAGCAAAATTAATCTCAATATGACATAGAAAATTATAAAACGATAATACACAGCTCTTTCAGCAAACCGATAGGTAGCAATAAACACAAGAAAAATGTTTCATATTCTCAGAGAGCCTTCTCACCTTGATTCAGTTTCTCTTCATCACAAATTCCTGTGACTTCAATCCCATGTGACCTCCAAAACTAGCGTTCTTGTTTTTCTTTTCACTCTTTTTCTATAAATATTTTCAAATATGTACAGAATAGCTATATGTATTTTGTAAATCAGCATGCATCTTCCACTGTCGAGGGTCTGGCATCCTGAAGAGAGATCACAGTCTCAAAAGCACCAACCAAGGCCTTGACTTTACTCTTCCTGGATTCGACAAGCCTACTGGCAGTCTCTTTAATCACATTATTGAACAATTTCTGGACATCCTTCCTTCCTTTCACATCTTGGTGTCTCAACACAACTTTCTCAGGACTAGTGTCAGTACCATTCAACATGCCAGCACGACCATATTTTCTCCTGAAGCTCTTCCTTCGGGAACCTTCCAAATCTCGTTCGTGGTTTTTCATAACAACTTTCTCACGTTTGATTTTAGCACCATTTGACTGACTGTCATCAACCTCCTTCCTCCCAGTGCTTCCCTTTTCAGTACCAGCATCATTTGACTCACTGTCATCAACGTCCTTCCGCCCAATGCTTCCCCTTTTGATACCAGCACCATTGGACTGACTATCATCAACTTCCTCCCTACCAATGGTTCCCCTTCTGATAGCAGTGCCATTTGACTGATTGTCATCAACTTCCTTCCTCCCATTGATTTCCCCTTTGATACCACTTCTTCTGTTTTGGGTGTCCCTCACCAATCTGACTCTCCTGAATTTGAGTCTCCTTGGAGTATTGTTCTCAGGCTGGAGGTCAAGCACCCTTCCTCTCCTGAATTTTAGCTTTCGGGCTAGGCTGTTTTTACCGTCAGAGCTAAGTACTCCAGACCTTCGAGGCCTAGTCTTGCGCTCCGCCTTTAAATTTACTATTTGATTATCAGTATTCATTGTATTGTGTTGAGAGGTGGCACCACTTTCTTTTTTATGAGTGGACTGAGATGGGGAGATGGACATGGATGATGATGCCGGTGACAAAGAAGATAAAGATGCTAGAGTACTACGTCTCAACCCTTTGTTATCGGGGCATAGAGGAGCAGGTGAACGGCCATAACCTCCATTTGCAGTACGTTTCAGTTTTGTCTTCTCAGAGGATGGAGGTGATCGAGTGCTACCAATTCCCTTCCTTGCTTGCTTCAAGCTTTTGACTTTCAAGGGTGAGGGTGATAATAACTTAGGAGCATTAATGCCATTTGGTGTTAGTTCCACAGTACTATTCTCAGTATTTGATTCAAAAACGTACAGAATCTTTTCTGGCATGTCCTTATTGCAAGATCCCTCAGGCTCAACTTCTCTGGGATTGTTTTGATCTTTCAGATGAGACGACCCTTTGACTTTCTCACAGCTTCCAGTATTCACATTGGAGACTCTCTTGACCGGGTGCATGGAAGTCAAAGAAACAGTTTCAGGCCCCAACATCTTTTTCTCAACCAATACAGAAGTCCTCAGGGTTCTGCTGCTGATTTTTCTATTTCCTCTGCTGCTTGAACCTTCTAGTATTTCCTTGACTTTTCTGCTTCCACTCTTTCCTTCATTATGTGAACCCTTTCCTGGGAGAGAAGATGGCTCTAGTTGCTCAGGCTTCACCCTTGAAAGGGAACCTTCCGTACAAGCATCAATTTCCTTAATGTTGGTTGAAACTTTTTTCGAAGAAACTTTTTCTTTCTTTTTCAATGGTAAAACTCTTTTTTCCGTGACAACAGAATGATCAAGTTTCAGGGTTTCTGTATCTGGAGAAGGCTTAGGACTGATTGTGGATATCCCCTTCGAATTACTCAGGCTTAGTACTGATCCTGGGAGAGAAGATGGTTCTAATTGCTCAGCCTTCAACTTCGAATCTACGGAATCTTCTGAAGAAACTTCTATATCATTAAAGGAAGATGAAACTCTTTTCTCTGCGACAACAGATGTCTGGATCTCCGAATCTGGAGATGACTTAGGATTGATTGTCGCTATCCCCTCCAAATTGTTCAGGCTTAGGACAGATCCTGGGAGAGAAGATGGCTCTAATTGATCGGCCTTCACCTTCGAATCAACCAAATATTCTGTACAAACATCTATTTCCTTGGGAGACGAAACTTTCTTTGAAGAAATAATTTCTTTCTTTGTCAATGATAAAACTTTTTTCTCGGTGACAACAGAATTATTAAGTTTCCGGGTTCCAGAATCTGGATAAGACTTACGAGCAGTTGTGGATATCACCTTTTTCTCTGTGACAACTGAATAGTCAAGTTTCTGAGTGTCGGAATCTAGAGAAGGCTTTGGACTGGTTGTGGGCATCTTTTTCCTCTCTGTGTCTGCTGAATTAGTTGCTTTGAGATTCTGGCCTGCACTTCCAGTTGCTGTATCCAATTTTGGCATTGCAGTGGGTGCATTTTCTTGAGAAGGATTTCTCACTCCATATTTGCAATAATCATGGCAGGAACCTGTTCGAGCTCTAAGATAACGGGATTGAATCTTTACACCAATTTTCAGACGATTTTTTCTAATATTATCACCATTGGGCTCTGTTTCCAGTGGGATCACTAAGAGGTAGTTCCTTCTGATATCACCACCTTCGGGCTCCATTTCCTGCAAGATCACTGGGATAGAGTTCCTTCTGATACCACTGCCATTGGGTTCAATTTCCTGTGGGATCACTACAACAGAGCTCCTGCTAGCATCACTACCATTAAATTCCATTCCCTGTTGGATCATGGAGATAGAATTCCTGATGATAACATCAGGAGAATCTACACTCTCGATAGAGTTCATTCTGACATCACCACCCTTGGTCTCCATTTCCTGTGGGATCGCTGGGATATAGTTCCATTTGATATCACTGCCACTGGGTTTTATTTCCTGTGGGATCCCTGCAATAGAGTTCCTATCATCACCATTGGATTCCATTTCCTGTGGAATCACTGGGATAGAGTTCCTTTTTATATCAGGAGGGGGATCTACTTTCCCGAAGGAGCTCCTTCTAATATCACCACCACCATTGGCTTCTATTTCCTGTGGAATCACTAGGTTAGAGTCTCCTCTGACATCACCATCCTTGGGCTCCATTTCCTGTGGGATCTCTGGGATAGAATTCCTTCTGATATCACCGACATTGGAATTTGTTTCCTGAGGGATCACTGAGATAGAGTTCCTTCTGACATCACCATCATTGGGCTCCAGTTCCTGTGGGATTACTGGGATAGAGTTCCTTCTTGCCTTGTCACCATTGAGGTCTAGGTCTTGTAAGATCACTGGGATACCAACGTTCTCTACTTCCATTATGAAGATGACATAGCAAACGCACAACCCTGTAGAAAATTAAGATTTCCCCACAAAGAGAGAGTGAGAGATTACGCAAAAGCAACACTCACTTCCTAAATGAAATTTTTATCCCTTATTTTTATATGTTTCAAGTAAAATAACAAAATGAAGCAAAGTGCTCACCAAGAATCTGATGCAACTGTAATGTAGTGAAAATCTTGAGGCCTCAAAACTTCACAAGGCTGTTATGCTGCATTCAACATGAATGAAAACATTCACTCACAATAGTTCCAGAAAAAAATAATGACGATTTTATATTACATCATGAACAGAAAAATGAAAGCTAGCTAAAACTGAAGATCGCATTGTTATTGAACGAAATGATCACCAGTTTTGGAAATGTACATTTAACCCTATACATCTAAAAGTAAATGATAGGCCTTTTAACATTTACTGGACCTATTCCTTTCTTTCTTTCCCCCATCTTGGATTAGGGCTTTATCTTTTTAGCACACATAAGAACTTGTCACTGCAACTTCACCTAAGAATTTGCCAAACATAAGTCAATTAAGCATTCAACCTCGTAATTCAGATGGTATTCCCTTCAGATACCATGCATCAACTTGTGGCATTTGCACAAGTGCACACAAACTCTATGTATGTAAAACACTAGCTGCTACTTGCGAGGGTCAAAGCAGCAGGCATGCACACTCTCTCATGCATGTATAAGAAGATTAATTCCACTTTCAAGGCTCAAAAAACTTTACACAACTTTATGCGAACATTTTGAAAGATCTTAAATCAACCTATCGATTGTTAAACAAAACAAACGCACCATCTGACAGCTAAACCAGGAGAAAGGTCGACATACCATGATAGGTCTCCTCCAAGAATTAGTCTCAGTTATTGAGTTCTTTGTTCAAAACCTGACAGATCATACAGAATGTATAATCATGATAGATGCAAAAACACCTACGTTCTGCACTTACAAACACCAATAACAAAACAAGACAATGTATCGCCAAAATCAGCAAACTATCAAAATCATAAACTTGCAATTCCCTCAATCAACAATTGAGAAAAAATTATCCGCTTACACGTCCAAATAGCCTAAGAGAATCCTCTAAAATCTTTGTTTACCCATCAGAATGGTAAAGAGCAACCAATTTGAAATTTGATTGTCAAGGATGGAAAAAAGAAGAAGGAAAAGATAACAAATTTCTCATCATCTATCATGCGTCTTAAGGATCAACCCATTAGCAAGCTGCCAAGGAAATGCTCATTTTGGCAAAACGGAGACTAGCCCATTTGCAGTTTTCACACAAAATATTCATTTTACACAAAAACAAATAGAAAGATCCTTCTTTCACATTAACCTTGGAATTATAACCATAAAATAGACAAACCCCATTTGCAATTCATCAAGAAAAAGCTCATTCTGAGCAGAAACAAAATCCAAAACACTGAAAAGAGCATCAAGATCATACCTTTTTCTTGTGTCTCTTCCTACCCTTCCCATCAAGGTAGCATGAGAACTTGAGAAGAGAAGACCCCAGAAGGGGCTGTGCGAAATTGGTTGCCTTAGAAAGAGTGGTGATTTTTTCGTAATTGCATTTGACTGGCTCTTTGAGGATGAGAATGCGCGTCTGTTTTTGTTGCAACCAAAATAAACCCTTCCCAAAATGAACGAAACAAAGTTGAAACAAATAAATTTTGAAAAATAAAAAAGTAAATAAATAAAATAAAATAAAAAACATCTTTTGCCTTTTGTTGGCGGTTGGCCTTTCTTTTGGTGGGAAGATCGGAAGTGGAGGAGAGAGAAACTTCTAGAAAGAGAAAATCATGGAAAGTGATGGCGGCTCCCATCCCTAATAAAGAACGTTCTTTATCCAGAAACACTTTATCCGCCAGGGGTGATGATTAGGTGACCTGAGTGTGAGTCTGCGTTTGACGACAAACACGCGCGAGCGACCATAATTCTCTCCTATTTTTAGTTTGTTTTTTCTTCTTCATGAACTGTTTTTCTTTTCTTACCGATAAAATTAAATATAATTTTATTTCGATTATTTTTCTAAAAAATAGTTTTCATCCACCAACCAGTGATATTTATTGGTGGGTTTGGTAATCTAATTATGAAGAACAATATAACTTAAAACTTTGGTGCAATAATCCTCTGTCTGTCTGTCAATCAAGTGCTAACATCAGGAACAAATAATAATTAAGGTCGACTATGAAATTTGATCTGCATAAAACTATGGAGAATGACCCTCCAACTAGCCATAATTAGAGTCCTTTAAAGAAGCATGAATCAACTTTTAAAATGCCTATTGGATTTGGGTTTGATCGTCTCTTACAAGTACTGGTAGTATTAGGATGGTTAGCTTTTTTAAATAATAAATAAATACAATTTTGTAAAATTAAAAATACTTGAGGCTTGAGGCTTGAGGCTTGAGGCTTGAGCAAATATTTGGGTGTAAAGAGGCCCAAAAATGTAGCATTAGAGTTTAGGCCTTTTGTAAAGATCTAAGCTCAATTGAATCCTTTATTTGGGTTTACTAACATAATTTGGTCCAAATCAAATACACAAATACATTGGAGGCAATTCCAAGCCCAAGCCTGCCTTGGTTTTGGACCAAAAGAAGAAAAAGCCTGCCTTGGTGTATGAGTAAACTTTACAAAATTACAAGGTAAATGTCGTAAAGGCTACAATGTCGATCAGGGGCACCGTATGGGGTGAGAGGTTCAATCCGACCATTAAACTTTAACATTTTTAACTTATACATGATTGGATTGGATCCCTCACTTAATTCCCTCACCCATATCCCCTCATTGTAGCTTGTAGCAGCTCTAGATAAATGTTGCTGTAGTTATAATATAAACATTGAGAAGAAGACTCCTAGCAATTGAGATCACCAGATTTTTTTAACAGAGTCTAGTAAAAGCAATTTCAACATAAAGTTACATATATTATATGATGACAAAAACTATAAGTGAAAATGATTTTAGCAAGGTCATGAAAGAAAGGAAAAAAAATGAATAACCTACTTTACCTTACTTTCAAGCTCCAAGTTTGCTTCCTTCTAAGTTTTTGCTCCATCATTCAAGTGTAGGTAAATATCTCAGCCAATACCAATACATACATATATATATATATATTACAATTACAGACTGTCCAAAATTGTAGGTGTAGAATACTTTGGCAGTCAGTAAATTACTGGTAAACATGCATGAATTTGAAAGCAATCTTATACCCCCTAAATGCATATGATTCAAGGGCTTGTCCTGTCTTCATGTTAAAGGTTTGGTTAGATTACAGAACCCAGCTAAAAGCAATCTTATTTGAATGGCCCACCAAATAGTCAAAAGAACTCAATATATGCTTTCTATCATTGACTGTGTTTAACTCTGATTTTCTTATTAGTTTCATAACCAAGGCATTGCTATAATTAGTGCTTAGCTTAAGCCCCTCCTAATTATCAAAAAAACCAAATTAAAAAGACTCACCTAAACTAATTTAATACCACTTATAGGGATTTTAGCTATGCCATCAATGTAATTTACCTTGCAAGTTTTCCATCTCCATACAACAAACCTTCCATATGGCATGATAACAAAGTGACAAGACAGGCCAATCATTTACTTACTAGATTAGCTAGGATATATAAATATAATTAATTTACTTGTACTTGCATGCTTAGATTACACACTAACAAAAGATTTTTTTTGACAAAATTATGAATCCATCTCTCCCAAAGTGATAAATGTTAATCTTTATCAGTGCATGTGTCAGATCCTTTTTTCTAATAGAAGCAAAAGTATTTTTTTGGAGAAGAAAGGAATTAAAGGGAGGGCTATGATCACTTTCACTTCACGACCACAGTTGCAAGTCAAATGTAAAAAAAGGAAATTGTGTTGAATAAACATGTTCACTGTTTCATGATTGTTCATGTTCCCTTGGCTTCAAGAAGGGGCATTCTTCTATTGTGGGGACTCAGACTCAGACTAGGCTAGCTACTTTTCTCTAATTATACCCTTTTTCTAAAAAGAAAAAAGATTGATATCAAACGAATAGTTTCCATAAGTACACCCGGATTCGATTCACGTAAGAGATAATCTTGAGGCAACCCAATTTAATACTTCCCCCTCCTCCTTCCAAGCGAATGATTAAAAAAAGAAAGAAAAGGGAATAGTTTCCATAAACCAACAAAAGAAAATTAATGGTGATATGTTTGATGCCAGAACCAGAGAAAATATCAGCAGAAAATCCAAACTACATGATAAGTTGATCACCAAACTTAATGGCCCATCAAGGTCCTTCTGTTCTGCCATTTTCATGTAAGAGCATGTGGTTATATTGGCATTCAAACACCATTGAAAGCAAAGATATTTTGATATAATTAGGCACATATTTTAAGTTATTCTTTTCATGGAAGGTTAAGGACTGAATTGAACTTACCTGCATGAGCCTGCATCCCAAAGACTTTAATTGGCTCGAGAACGTTTGGTTGGGACAAGATCATGATGAGAATATGTAATTAGGTGGAACTGTTGAAGATGGATCACAAATAACAAAAGATGACAATGAAAATTTTCATGCAAGTTAACTTTTTTTTAGTTAAAAGTAGACAAATCCTTGGCATTGATTTTAATCTGTCACGTGTGGTCTCCCAGCTAGCAAACCATCTCTATCTCCCAACATTATTATGAATTTCCCATCTGTTTGCGTGAACAAAATTCAGCTATAAAAAGCCAATCAGCAACAACAAATTTCCCACACCACCACCCTGTGATCTGACCAACCCTTTACTCAAAATTTAAAGCCAAAACCATAACCATGGTTTCTGAGACTCACCAATCCAAAAAAGTTTGTGTAATTGGAGCTGGACCCTCAGGGCTTGTAGCTGCAAGGGAGTTGAGGAAAGAAGGTCACAGAGTGTTGGTTCTGGAACAAAACCATGATGTAGGAGGGCAATGGCTGTATGACCCTAATGTGGAGGGAGAGGACCCCTTAGGAAGGACACCTTCTCTAAAAGTGCATAGCAGTCTTTACACCTCTTTAAGGCTCATATCTCCCAGAGAGATCATGGGCTTCACTGACTTTCCATTCTCAGTGAAGAAGGGTAGGGACATGAGAAGGTTTCCTGGCCATAGGGAACTTCTTTTGTATCTTAAGGATTTCTGTGACTGGTTTGGATTAAGGGATTTGATAAGGTTCAATACTAGGGTGGCATATGTGGGAATGTTGGATTATTATGGTACTAGTACTGATGATGTAGTTGGCTGCGAAGATTTGAAATGGGTTGTTAGGAGTGTAGAGAAGAAGACTCAGATTGTCATGGAAGAGGTGTTTGATTCTGTGATTGTGGCCACTGGCCATTACTCTCAGCCAAGGCTGCCTTCCATTAAAGGTACTTTTATCAATTTCTTTAGTTTCATGCTAGCTCATGTGAATGACTTTAACATTCCTAATCATATTATATATGGTTTTAATCTCTCTGCTTCCATTTTCTTTTTTCCTTTTGCAATTGTGGTTTTCATTTGGTCATATTTAGGAATGGATGCATGGAAGAGGAAGCAAATGCATAGTCACATCTACCGGGTTCCTGAGCCGTTTGCCGATGAGGTAAGGCAATAGATTAGATCTAATTAGTTCTCTGCTGCAATGGATCAACAAAATTTTCAAGCTTTTAAAAGATGAAGTGATATATTTTCCTCTGCTTGCAGGTTGTTGTGGTGGTTGGAACTTCACTAAGTGGACAAGATATATCAATGGAACTAGTGGAAGTGGCAAAGGCAGTCTACCTCAGTGGAAAATCTCTTGACATATCCGAGGGCTTGTCCAAAGTCATTTCCAAGCATGAGAACTTGCACCTTCGTCCGCAGGTTCAAACAAATATGAAATTGCCTCTTGCCTCACCTTTCAAAGCAGGGCCCATTGCAATCCCATTAGTTTTATTTAAGCATGCTCTTTTTTCTGCGTTCTGTTTATAAGCAACAAAACTCTGTTTCGTTTTAAGCAATCCCATCAGTTTTTCTTTCATGTGCAAGCAAATGTTGGTAACAAACATTTAAATGCAACATTCTGCTGCAGATAGACTGCCTTCAAGAAGATGGGAAGGTATTATTTGTGGATGGTTCTTGGGTCATTGCAGACACCATCATGTACTGCACTGGGTAAATTTTGAAACCCAATTTGACCTTATAATATGCTGGTGGATCTACTTGCTCTTGAAAAGTGATTGGTGTTACTATGGAATTTGACTGAGAGATTTTCTATGGGTCCCTACATTCAAATTATGGACCCCACAGCTTGTTGCAATATAATTAATTAATTGGTCCAAGCGGGCTGTGTGCAGGTATTCATACACATTCCCCTTTCTTGACACCAAAGGAATAGTAGCTGTGGATGATGACAGAGTGGGCCCTTTGTATGAGCACACCTTCCCTCCATCACTTGCTCCCTCTTTATCTTTTATAGGCATTCCTAGAAAGGTAATTTAATAAATCTTTGTTCTACATATCTAGCCTTCATTTTCATCATTCTTTATGTGAGATTAGTACATTATATTTTTGGCTAATTAGTCCATAATCTGATACAGATCATAGGGTTCCCTTTCTTTGAGTCACAAGCAAAATGGATAGCTCAACTACTCTCTGGGAAAAGAACATTGCCATCAAGGGATGAGATGATGCAGTCCATTAAGGAACTCTATCACTCAAGGGATGTTGCTGGCATTCCAAAGCATAATACCCATGATATCGCAGAATTCGAGGTAAAAACAAAAAATTAGTACCACATTTACCAACCACGTACTCGTAAAGGTGGTGAGATGCGTTAAATTTATGTATATTCTTGAATGAGCTGGTGAGGCTGTCAAGCCATTGATGTGTGGTGTGGCCACACATATTGTAGCTTGCATTCTAAGCTCTCTCTCCCTTTTGTTTTGCTTCTTGTTGCAGTATTGTGATAGATATGGAGATCATATTGGGTTCCCACATTTAGAAGAGTGGAGGAAAGAGCTTTGCCTTTCGGCCCTGAGAAATGCTGACACCGACTTAGAAACATATAGGGATTCGTGGGATGATCATGAGCTGCTTCAAGAGGCTCTTCAAAGTCCACATTTCACTCAACATGGGGCTCAAGATTTTCCTCTGTAAACCTTAATTATATTATTATTTTGCTTGGACCACGAACTTTAAGTATACCTATTATAAAAGTATTTGTTATTGTTGAGAGAGAAAGTTCTTTTACTTTTATCTTCATTTTGTTTTTCTGTGGTACTTTTGGCGGAATGAAGGGGTATTCACCATTATTAGATTTACAGAAATGGTAGAAGACAATAGACTCTAAAACATTTGTTTTTGTACAAAGTCAGGCAAGGTCAACAATTTACAAGGTCTGGCTGGCAAATACAAGTTGTTGACCTATAAACGACAGGTCGCCTTGTAATATGCTTTTGTAAACTGCAATGAGTTTTGGAAACGGCTACAGTTTGTACTGAATAAGCTCTTAGTATGACCACATTTTGTTCAGTTATGTTGTTTCACTCCGTAATATTACCTAGTACTTAATGTTTTTTACTAGTCTCTGAAAACTTGTATGAGGTTTATTTGTGTTCTTCTTCACAGTGCTTACAACAGTACTGTAAGAAGTGCCATCAGAGGTTTCAAAAATAAATTTTCAATTCTGCAAATGCGGGAGACTCAGTGCATGTGTACATCATTCATGGCTTCTTTCTTAACCACCCAAATATAGAGATATATATATACCCACCACATGTATGAATTATGAAGGTCTGGAGAACATTTACAATCTATTGATTCACAAAAACCTCAACAAAAGAGTTTTCAAACAGATTCTTCATCATGGCTCTTCCTATACTTGGCTTAAAATAAGACGAGGCTTGCTAACTGGAAATCTCTGCCCTCTACGCCGCCTAGTTACCTCTCCCCAACCTATTAGCCTTCTCTCCTCTTTTCCAAATTGACTTTTGCTGCCAATTTGCTTCAACAATGATTCCAAAGTATTCTCAGTTACAGTGGAAGTAGAAATGCTGGACCTTCTCCTCCCCCTTGCCAATCCAAGTTTAGCTGCATATCTAGCCGAACCTGTTTCCAAACGATTACCGGAAGACTCAACTAGCCCTCCTAGTGTCTGAAGATCCTCAGTCACCTCATACCTTGACAAAGAGGCAAGACTTGGGAGAATTTCGCTCTGGAAGTCCTTCCGCTGCCTTCCCCTCCTTTTCCGGCCCTTCCTTGGCTGATTTGGTGATGAAGTGGTACCTGTCTCTTCATCCTTGTGGCTATTACTTCTACAGCGGCACTCTTCCACCTTTGTCTCAGTCAAATTCAATGTCATGACCTCAAAGTAGTCCATTCCATCAGGTAGAAGATCTTCACTCATAACTACTCCAGCCTTGTTCTCTGGACCACCTACAACTGCAGAAGCTATCCCAGCAAACCAATGTAGGGAGTCACATGAAGTTTTAAGCAGCTTGTTTGTGGTTCGTGCAATACAAGTATGAAGCCCAGATGATGAAATGGATGCCAAAGATTCTGCTGCAGTCCTGACTAGTTCCTCTTCCAGATCCACTTTCTGTCCTGAGTCTCCTGACGATGGAAAAGGTCTCTCGATTTGATTGTCATCAGATTCTCTTGTTGGCACAAAACACTCCTTGTTTTCCAGATCTTCCTGTCCTAACAACAGAAAAGGTGTCTCAACTTGATTTTGATCAGATTCTCCTCTTGGTGGAGAACACTCCTTGTTTTCTGGACTAGCAGGTGCCTCCAAAACAATTTCGGTTGAAAGAGAGGAAATTGGTGAAAACCCGTCACCATTTATGGATGAGTTCAGGTCAACTTGTAATCCAAAACCTACATCTTTCTTATCAAATTCATTCTCTACTATATGTTCTGTTAGTTCTATTTCTGTGTCGAGCACTGAATCACAAGCCAAGTTTAAATCAAGTACCACATATTTTTCTCTTTTCCTTTTCTCTTCAGGTGGGTTCAGATTGGCATTAGAGGGGGAGCCATGCGAACAGCCATCACAAGAAATGTTAAGCTTCTCACAACTAGCAGCAGAACCACAAATCCTTTCACTTGAGTGGTCACTTGCCTCCGCCTGGTTTGAATCTTCACGTCCTTTATCAGTTTTGCTACTATAAACAAGCTTTGGCCTGTGCCATTGCAACTGCTCATTATAATCTTCAAGCTTCTCTGATCCAGTTGTTGCTTGGAAACTCTGGGAAACTCCCACATCCAGAGGACAGCTAAGAGGCATGAAATTCAAGTTTATATCCTTTGGGGACTTGACATTTCCAGAATCCTGCCTGTATTTTGTAATGCCATGGTGTTCACTCACTAAATTGTCATTAATCCTGATCAGATTATCAAAACTGATGGGTGGTGGTGGGTGAGCCTCTAAATGCTTGGATTCCGTCTGGGAGCCATTGCTAAAGCTACTATCAAGGAAGAAGGCACTACCATGTTTTGTGCTAGATCTCAAATCCTTTTTTGACTGTAACCTGTTACCATAAAGAGCAGGATTTACCGTTGACAATTTATAACTATTACTGAATGGTAAAGGGGTGTTAAAACATGGGAGTGCTTGAGAACTTGATGCCTCGGGTGCTTCAGAAACCTTTCCATTTCCCAGAAATTCTTCTTCTTCATTACCAATGTATGCATCAGCCGGAAGTTCAAGATCCACGAAGTTCTTCTGAAATTTCTTGCATTTGGATTCCAACAATTCAGAGTCTCCTGAACGACCTTCAGTTTGAGTTGAATAAGTGCATGCCTTTATGTTCCTCCCTCGAACAAAACATGAAGGTGATTGGATACTTTCAGCACCTGAAACAAATATTTGATTGCATACAGGGTTTACCAAAGGCAAGGATGGCATGTGAAATGTCTTTTGAACGCAAACAGATGAGCTTTGAGACAAAGAAGTAGTCAACTGTGAAGCCTCCATCTTCAGCTGATATTTAACCAATTCATTCCTTCTTATTTCATTCATTAGTTCTCTTTGTCTTCCATAAAGGCGATGAAGGTCCTGAATCTGGATGGACAGAAGACATGTCAGGCATATTTAAGTGTTTAAGAACTTTCATAAAAAGTTGGGAATATCAAAGATAATGTGGCCATAATGAAATAACCCAACAATACAAAAATCAAAACAATCAAAATCCCTTGAAAAATGAAGGATTATGACTCAATGATTTGCAGTAACACCATTTGATGTTTATGGACCATACTACAGTATTAACACATGATAAAAGACAATTGTTGTATAAATAGTTATGATATCCATAGAAAAAAGTAGAAAGAAATAAGAAATTTGAATGCACTAAGCTCAATGAAATTCAACGTTCTGTATATTTGTTGGCATGAATGGTCAAAATACTATACCTGATCCCTTAATATCATTTCTTGCTCGAGCATTGTCTGCTTTAATACCTCCTTGTAGTACCCTAAAAACTGGTCAGGAGATGAGTTATGCTTCCTTTTACTGCTATTAGCTATTAAGTTATGATTCCTTGTCAAGTAATATCCTGGGAAATAGCTGCTGCACTGGATATGTGCCCCCATCTCCAGAAATTCTACATGTAATAAAGCACAAAGTTTACTGGATAACCCAATAAAGTATAACTGAGCACCCTCAGTTCCATCAGAAAGAAAACATGCAACAGTGTACAGAAATCAGAATAGGTTAGTTTGTACCGTATAGAGACATCTAAGGAGAACAAATTGAAACTGTTCCAGTATAGAGCATCTAGAATGCTCAAGAGTATAATACCCTGATACCAAAGAGAAAGGTGACATAAAAGAAAGGTCTTAAGAAAGACACTTTTTAATAGCTTATTCTTAATTAAAAGGACAACACAGAGCCCAAAGTTCGAGCACATTGAAGAGAAATATCAAAAGAAGCTTCTAGGTAGAAATGGGCTTAAGAAAACCTACTAACATAATGCTGTTGGTTCCTACATACCTAGGCCAAGATGATCAAAGAGACAAGCCAACATTTTGAAACTGCTAGGCTACAATGGTCCCTACTAGGGAAACCAATTTGAAATCATGTAACTCAAGAGTTGATTTGAGAGGAAATGCATTGCAAGTTGAAATATGTGTCTGTATTTGGAGAAAAGGGGGAAGACGGAAAATGTCAGCACTCTACAAAGATTGAAATCAACAAACTTTAATGGGACAACTGCGCTTACTCAAGATATCCATGATCCATCACAGTAAAAGCCGCCAGACTAGTAAAAATGGAAACAAAATCAGAATTAAGACCAAGCCGTAATGCATTCATTCCACTGGAGAAGAACAAAAAAAATCCCTTTTTCAAGATCGAACAAAGCAAAGATTTGGTAACATGGTCTATATTTTCAGCATTGATCACAGCCCCTTATCAGCATTGGGCTTATGTATCCTCATATAGTGGAAAGCTAAATGTCAAAGTCATAATAAAATATATCACAGATTCCAGGGGAACTCGGAGTAAAAAGTCAAAAATAAAGATCAGAATATTTTTCAAACCAGATTGTCCAATAAAAGAATTGAGAAAATTGAACACAAGAACACTAATTACTCATTAAAAAAATCTCCTTTACAAAATGTGGTTATAAATTCCATCTTAGCTATAAAAATGAGTTCTTTTTGGTATTATGTTACCGATGAGCAACAAAAACTGGATAGACCCATCAATCAGAAACATCAAGCACAGAAGTTCATTCCACTTCATGGATGTTTATTTTACAGAACAAACATACGAAAAAGAAAACAGAGCAAAAGACAAACAAAAAGGAAAAAGGATAATACAAAAAATCCATCAAAGGGATCACCTTTATAATTAAAACATTGATATAAATCTAAGGCTTACCTGAAATTTGATGCATAGTCCTATTCTAGCTTCTCCTCAAAAACCCAGCAAGGATTCACTCATTCCATGACTGATGTCTTGCTTTGAGCCACAAAACAAAGCAAAACAAGAACAGCCGAAACAAACCCACGAATCAGGAATCAGAATAACAGAGTATCCCAAGAGAGCTCAAACATCAAAGGAGGCATTTTGGAAAGACCATGGAAATTATATAACGTTGAAAACTTTGGATCCTCTGGGCCATTTTCTCTAAGAAGATTTAGAGAGAGAGAGAAATAGCAGATAAGAAAAATCCACAGAAACAAACGAAACTTACATGAGAAGAGACATGAAAGTTGTCCACACCCAACAAAGTCTCTCTCTTTCTCATTTTTTGTGTTTGTTTTTTGGGTTTTGAGCAAGTGGGCATTGTCTTATGAGGCTCTAGATTCTCTCAACCATTTTCTGTTTTCGGAAGAAAAGAAAAAAACATTTAATATTGAACTTCAAAAAATATTATCAATATCAAACAACACGCCACCAGCACTATTACAAACCGGATTTTACTGCAACCAACAGACACAGCCAAGCTCTTATAGACTATCTCAATTTTTCTAATTTAATCAATATCTATATTGCAAGAATTTAATGAAAGTTATTATTTTTCCCACTAGTGACAAATAATAATTAGTAAGCAGTAGGTCCACAGACTTTGTTTTGATAACGACTAAAATTTATGACTCATTTTCGTGCGGAATATAAGACTTTAGAACTAAGATAATGAAATCACAAGTAAATCACACATATCTTTGTTTTGTTTGCATATGTTATTATTTGACATATATCTTTTTGAAAACATTAATTAGTTATTATTTATTAACAAAAATATAATTACGGATTTTATGGGGGGAGTTCATAAGTCTCATCGTGTTCTAAATTACCATGAAATTGGGATTTAGAGTCATTAGAGACTATTATTACACAGGCCTTTTCATGTTTGTAATTCTTAAACTCTCATCAAACTTACCAGTGCAAATGATTTTGTGTGTGTATCTTTCTTTTTCCTTTTTGAGCTATTCAATTCAGAAATATGATGCTAAAGACATGACCCATTTAGTCTCATTGCTTATCCAGGTGTCAAGATAACAACCTCATGGGACCATCTAAATCATGATTATGCTTGTTTAGTACATAATTAGTGCTAATGACTCAAGCCTCCAGGACAACTAACACGACAACAAGAGATATAATTGCTAGCTTAATGAGTTAGTTACAAGGTTACATCTGTGAAAGTACTTCAAATCAAAGAAAGAATATTAGACAAAAAGAAGACTTATTAAAATATGCAATTAAAAATGGGAAAGAAAACATAAAATTGGTTTCTATTTTGCAAGTGTTTTAGATGACAAGAAAATGGTCCCAAAAGATGAGTGTGGAAACAATGAGAAAAATAAAAGCAATAAAGACTTTCTTAGAGCTCAGTGGAGGTTTTTTTTTCTATTTGAAGTCAAAATTCTGGAATAGGTCATATGATATGGATGAACTTGTACGCAAAGAAACCATGATACCCTCAAGACAAAATGTGAGAAAGTATAATATTTGATTTTGGCAAGAGATAAGGATTTTCCAAATTGTGAATTTAAACAACTAAGATTTTATGGAGATTCAAATATAAGACGTCTTGTTTGTTAATCAAGGTCATTTTCTACCATGCTAAATCACGTCGGCAAATTAGTTGTGTAGTTGCTCAGCTGAATTAATAAACTTGTAAAAAATAATAAGCTAAATGCAACAAACCCCAAGAAAAATGCGTCCGTACAATACAAAATTGTTTGAGCATTGTATGCATTGCGGCGAAAATTCTCTGGTAGGACCCCCTCTCTCCTCTTTTTATCAGTCCAATCCAATCCCCGGTGTGTGACCTGCATGTAGTGCTGAGCTTCCAATTCTATTTCCTTGATTTTTCTTTTCCATAATGAAACTACAAAATTGCCCTTGATATTGCGCAATGACAGTGTCCCCCTTTGTCACCTTCTCGGGTATCACTTTCATTTCATTTCATGAATCTGATCTCCCATAAAGATTAAAGTGAAGCCCAAAGCTACCTCATTTTTCATCATTCCGGGCTTTCTATTTAGTCCCTGTAGCACGATTGAACCTCTGTTTGTTTTTAAAACTTTATTGGATGTTATGCGTCTATGAGTCTATCTCTTATAAATTCGCAAATAATACAACCGGTGGTAGGGCAAATTTTTCCCCTTTCGTATATTATGTGATGTTTTTATTGTCAAACAATGATCTAACGAGTAGCTTAGCTTTAGCATAAGATGCATCACTTCAAAATCGTCCTACAAGAAATGAGTTTCCTCGCGTTATACTCCATATCAATCAAGGACTGAGATTGGTTCAAAAATGGGGCCACAAGGGTAATTATCAACACAAAAATTGTGCGATGTCGATGTGGGATAGTGACGCGGACATGTTCCACAACGTGGTACATTTTCATTGGGCGCAGAAACAATTGGGCACATGCAATTTTTCTTTTTCGGAGAGGGCCCAAACACTTAGGCTTGTTTGCATATGTTGGGCTTCATTTTCATAGATGTTTCAATTGTTTTGAATAGAAGTGATAGTCTAAATCATAGACACACGCAATTATGATGTCGTGGAGTCATTTCTATCATGTTAGACCCTGTTGGCGAGATGTTTCACTTTTTATTGTTAGGGGAAAATGTGTATTTTTTCCTTTCTGTTTTCTACTTTTCAGTTTCTACTGAATTTCTTAGAGCATATGCAACGGTGTTAATATAATATTGTCACCAACCAAAGAAAATTTTGTTATTAATTTTTTCTTAATTCAAAATTGGTCAATCTCTTTAAAACCATTTTAATTGTATAAGTCTTATTGTAATTAACTTTATTCATTTTATTTTATTCAATCATTTAAAAATATATTTAAAAAATATAGTTTTTAATTTGTAAGCTATTGAAATGCACCACTGTAAATATAATTGCAGTTCAATCCAATAGCTATAAAAAAAAGTTCAATAAATTGAACTATTGAAAATGAACTATTGAGCAACTATTGCGGATGCTAGAAACTTTCTTTCACTAAGTAGAGTTAGTCACTAATTATTATATGCAATCAAACTTGAAGATGATGAGGGTGACAATAACAAAAAATCAGAAAATAATGTGTCATTTCTTTAAGTTGCATTGTAAGATTCTTTTGTCCTCCAAGGTACATCAGCTAGATTATGCTTGAGGCATATTTCTTTTTGTGTATTGTCTCTCAAGTGCTCCACCAAGCAAAGAGTTTAACCCCACCACACACTAACTTTCCTGGATAAAGAATAAGATCATCTTCTTCGATAATCATTCACAAAACCTCTCTGTGGCTTTCAGTGATCACAACATGCCTTGTGATCTTGTAGAGATTCAGTACCACTACTAGAAAGCCATGGCCAAATAAATGTAAAACTAGCCAGCCTACCCTCTCTCTATCTATATATTTATTTGCTCCACTTTGGATGGCTGAGGCAGTTATGCCGACAAGGACAATTTTGTCAAGTTGCACTCACATCCCATTTGGCTACAGAACAAAAACCTAGCTCAAAGTAATCGCATAGTTTCTGCCTTGGAAGATTAAAAGAGACATCAGATTATCAACAACAGCGAAAGATGATATTATTTAGAAGCATTGGAAAATAGACGTTTCTCTGAACAAAACTTTGCTCATAGTTGACATGATCAGCAGCACTAGGATAAAGCTGTAGCAAGACTTACAACGAGACACATAAAAACAGAAGGAAAATTTAAGGCTGTTTGCCGACAGCTAGTTGGTGGAATTTGGTGTTTGATTGGTAACAGGGTATTTCCTAGCATTCTTGACAATTTTGGAGAGTGCAGCTTGTCCAAGATCAAGTCCACAAACATCAGCAAGTTGAATCAGATAAAGCAAGACATCAGAGAGCTCCTCTTCCAAATGCTCTTTCTCATCACAAGTCCAATTAGGCAGTCCTCTTGCAACTTCTCCCTTCCATTGGAAAATTTCAGACAATTCTCCAACCTCTCCCACCTGCACAAACATATTATGCAATGGAAAAAGTTCAAAAAAAAGAAGAAAGGAGATAAATAAAATTGGGGAATTGAAGCTTGGTGAAATGGGGTGACAAGTGATTTGAGTTTATTACCAGGGCTAGAAGGAGGTTCCTTGGACTGTGGTATTGATCCCATCCTCTTACTTGAGCAAACTCAGCAAGCCTATGTCTGAGTTCTTGAAGTGAAACATCCTTAGCATTTCTTGCAACCTCATAAGAACTTCCCATCTCTTCTGATCCTAGCTCTCCTCCACTTTGGCTCATGCACGACCAAATTTAAAGCAAATGCAGAGATGAGAGAGACTTATGGCTTGCTTTTTTTTTTGGTGGCTTTTTTGTTTTGTTTTTGTAAAACTAAAAATGCACCATCTGGTATAGTGGAGGGGCACTTGAGTGTTCCCTGAAAACAGTAATCATTTCAGGTATGGCAAAAGATGTTCCCAATCTTATCATCCATGACTTGAAATCACTCATACCTATCTACTTCAATTTTTTAACTAGGAATAATATGGGAAGCAATTGGTCCAAAAACTTCAATTTGGCACATAGCTCTCTCACCTGTGCCTATGCATGAGCCAACCCGTTGGATTTATCCTATAGCTTTGTTCCTTGGCATTTTGGATTTATCCTCCCCCAAGTATAGTGGTGAATTTCACTAGCTAGTATGTTTTCAGATTTCACAAACAATACAAAAACATCATTGGCTCCTTGTCCCTTTTATGAATCCGGAAATTGCGATTTGAGTGTGGATAATTTTCGACATCAGAATCAGGAACTTGCACGACATATATACAAAGCTTTCCATTTCATATCCCACATGGTTGTTGTGTGTCGTTTATACTCTGCTTTATAGCAAGGGAAATCGAGTCTAAGTTGAAAAATTACAAAATCTACCAAGCTACCTATATTATCTATTCTGCAGAAGTAAAAAAAGGTGTAAAAGGGAACAAGCTTTTTGCTTGCATATGCTTTAAGTGTTGGCGCCCACCTATGTGCCTTGAGATTTGTTGCCTTCATACTCATTATGTCTGCATGTAATGTAAATTTATGCAATTCACACGCATACACAATCTCAGCCATATAGGTGAAAACTTGTCCTGAATTTACTTTTACCTTTGTCTGGAACTCAAAGGTTGCAAAGGAAAAGGAAAGTTAAACATCACCTACACTATCACAACTTGGGTAGAGAACCTAAACTTAAAGCAATGCTATGCTAAACTTCAGTTCTTATGAAATTATGAGGCCTTGAGCATCTGCTATAATAAAAAAATTAAAAAAAATCATTAATTTACTAGAAGGTTCAAAATTTAAAAAGGGAAAAGAAGTAGAATATGGTTGCTGCCTTCTTATTCTGATTCATCTTTCCACAAGTGCTTTTGTAGCATTAGCATTTCCAGTTTTTCATGATGTGAACACAATATAAGCAGAAGATTAAAATGAAAGTTTCTGCCTGATCAGTTTTATATCTCACAAAAGAACGAGTTCATGAGCTGCCTTCTGTTTTTCTTTGTGGTCACTTATGGCATATGTCCATGGAGAATTTGCATGCTCCCCTGTACTTAAAATAAGAAACAGAGTATGTAATCTTATTTCTAATCTTCCAGTGCCCAAAAACCATATGAATCGTTAAGTCTCGAATATAATATAATATACTATAAAATGTAATCATCCCCAATCAGTACAAACCATTAGTTTTCACTTCCAGAGCAGAAAATATTGCTAGCTAGCTAAACCTAGAAAATAACTCAACTCTAACATTCAATTAAACTAAAACAGAGATGATGCAGGATGATGATTTGAAATGTTGCTCAAGAATCTCTAAGCACAGGCTAGTCTATATAACAGTGCTACATAAAGGTTAGTAAACCAATTAATTAATATTCTACCAAATTGATGAAATCATATCATCAGATTAGATCGTCATACCTCAAAAAATCTAATTCATTGATCTTGATCTCACTTAAATTCAGTCGACCGCAGAGAGAGCTTGATACTCTTTGTCAGCAATGGCTGCTTCCATGAGTTGGTGCGGGCCAATTTCTCCACCATTGTCCAAGAATACCTTGCCCAAATTGTCTGAGTAGCCACTCAAAATCTTCAGCCCTGGATGAGGTTCTACTATACTAGGCATGTTAAAGTCAAAAAGACCCCAAATCAAAACTTTTGGGATCGCATCATCCCCATAGCCTTGCTCCTTAAACTTACTCCGTACTGCCTCATAACTAGGCTTCCAGTCAATACCATGGCATGAAAAATCGGTGAACACAAACACCTTCTTGACCATCTGCTCTGGCTTTAAGTTCTCATTCACAGCCACTTCCAGAATCAAATCACACGCCTCTGGAAAATTAGCTATGCTGAAATCTTTGTTTGTCCTCATCATAAACTTGGCCTTGGATTTGAGATCATTGCCTTGTATCGAATGCAGCAGCAGCTCATATTGGGAATCACCGAAAGTGATCACCTTTCCTTTCCATACCGGCTCTTCACTCAGTTCAGACACCACAAGTCCCAAAGTCATAGCCCATGCTCTGCCATTGCCCAGGATATCGGTGAGACAACACACTGCCAAGCAGTTTTTAAAGTTCCCCAAACCCTGCTTTTGCTGCTGTTTTATGTCCTCCACCATTGCCTTCCACTGAAGCTCAACCGCTTCCCTGAAATCCGCATAGCAAGCATAGTTTAATGATCTCTCTTGGAACCAAAGCATTCAGCTTTATTATGCCAATGCCGCCTCCTCCTCTTGCTGCTGCTACTTGCACCTCCTCCAAATACTTCTCAACCTCATAGCTCCTCTGCCTGTCACTGTTAACTGCGGTTTGAAGATGCCACAACTTCTGCTTCTCAAACACCCAGCTCCAGCGATGGTCAAACATTCCTTGACGATACCAATAATTGCGCAAGGGCGCCAAAACCAATTTCCTAAACTTCTCCCACTCTTCCAATTCATACGATTGATCTGATTTGGGTGTGAAAAGCCTCTTTGCAATGCTTTCACACAGCAAAATGGAGCGGGCGGCATGAGAGGCCGTGGGGTGTTTGGTAACCAAACAAGCTGCAGCCTCGGTAACGAAACGATGAGGATCAAAAGTACTATCTTCATCATCTTCGTCTTCCTTGAACTCATCCTCCTCGTCCGTTAAGTAATCGGATGGCTTAAGTTGCAGCTTGTGCTGCATTATTTTGTCAACATCAGACTCCAAGCGCTTCAGGAAGAGATCCATAACCGCGTCGTGTAACAGTATGGTCCGGGTCACTGTGGAGCCGCTCCGCCGCAGTGTCTTGGCCCTGTTCTCCGAGAAGGCGGTAGAGAATATCGATAAGTTCCCAAAGATTCCCTAACGGAGCGGAAAAGGAATCAATGTTGCAAACTAGCGTCTTGGGGTGGTTCTTGTGGAGGCAAAACGCCGCCGTGTAGAAGGCGTCGGTGTACCATTTTCCCGTACACAAGAGTTGAGGTTGAAGATGAGCTTGAGGGTGGTTAGGGGATCGTGGGACCAGGCTACCTCCAGCAGTTGCGGCAGAAGATTGAGGGAATAATGTGAATCTAGGGAGGCCTGCTTCTGCTCGTCATCGTCGTCTTCTACTTCTTTTTGTGGTTTTTTCACGTTGAAAAACAGATCAAGGCAGGGATCACTGTAGGAAGTGAAGCCATTGATCTTATCGGGCTTGGCAAAGGCGATGGCCATGGCCATTGATCTTCTTCTTGTGAGCAGCAGAGGAGGACGGAAAGCAAGTGGTGTTGAAGTTGGAATTGTAAGAGCAGCAGGAGGAGCCATTACCCTAGTGGAAGGCAAACCCACTTGCAGCACCGTTGCTATATTCATCTCTACACTCTTCTCTACCCTGGATTTTAGTTTAGTTTTTGTTTCTGTTTCTGTTTCTCTAAACTGTGCAGGGCTTGCTTGGGTACCAAGGATTTTCTTTTTGCTTTTGTACTTGTACACACTCCAGCACCAGACATGTTTGCAAATGTGATCACATAGCCACCCAGACCATATCGGCCTTCTTTTTTCATGTTAGCATCTCTAATAAAATGAAGTGAAGTCTGGAACTTGGACCCACTATTTGACTATTATATGTCTCAACTTAATCATGCATGTTATTTCCAATTTACCATAATGCCCCCGCAGTGCCAGTCCTTGTGCGCCTGTACTTCTGAATTGCCCCCAACTTCATAGGCACGCACGAGACCCACCTGAGTATCTGTAACCGGGAACAGCCCCACCAACCAAGGCAATAAGGAAGAGAGATAGAGAGATGGGGTGGGCAATAGCACTCCACGGCGGTGCAGGCGACATCCCGCTCTCCCTGCCTCCGAAGCAAGAGATGTGGAGCTGTTTCTGGGCTCACCACTGTTGTCAATCCCATATCTTTAGCAAGACTGATCATGGAGAAAACTCCTCACATTTATCTTGCATTTGATGGAGCAGAGGCCTTTGCAAGGGAACAAGTTAGTGCCTCACAACCAATTTTACCATGGGCTTAAATGGTTTTTCCTGTAATGGGTTTCTTGATCTTCAATTTTCTTGTATGACTTCCTAATTTTGCAGGGTGTTGAGACTGTAGATTCAAGTCATTTCATTACCCCAGAGAATGTTGAGAGGCTCAAGCAGGCAAAAGTTGCCAACAGAGTGCAGGTACACTCTTGTCTAAATCTTGGCTTGTGAGTTAGGAAGTTGAATTCTCTCACACTCACACATTAGAGTTGCATAACCAGTGGCTACTCTTGTTTGTGCTGACTGATCACTTTTGCCCCAAATGTACAGATTGATTATACACAACCCCTTCACAAAGATGAGAAGAAAGAAACACCAGAAGCTGATGGGGATAGTAAACTTGGGACGGTTGGATGCTTGGCTGTCGATAGTCTCGGGAATTTAGCTTCTGCAACTTCTACTGGCGGATTAGTCAACAAGATGGTTGGTCGGATTGGGGACACACCCATCATTGGTGCAGGGACATATGCCAACAGTCTCTGTGCAGTTTCTGCCACGGGCAAAGGTGAAGCGATAATCCGGTACGGTTGCAAGGGATGTAGCAGCTGTTATGGAGTTCAAAAAATGTGTCTCTCTCAAAGAAGCTGCAGCTTATGTTGTGGAGGAGGGCACTCCAAAAGGCAATGTAGGTTTGGTTGCTGTTATCTGACACAGGGGAAGTGACAATGCCTTTCAATACCACAGGCATGTTTCGAGCTTGCGCTACTGAGGATGGGTATTCAGAGATTGGAATATGGCCTTCTGTGCAAAATTGAGTTGTTGCTTCAGTGAGATTCCTTCGTTTGAATCCAGGACAATTCCCATACTTGACATATGGGAAATGTTTAGCATTTATTGATTTTGTGCTTTAATGTCTAATCTAGTATTCAATTTTTAGTGGTTGCATTGCTTGAACCCCTATCTAAATATCTTTGTGGTATTAATATCTTCAACAAAGTTGACTGAAATTGCAGCATTTTCTACTGCTATTCTGCATATGAAGACTGGATGGTCATGACTTGGTCAAATGCATGAATTAAGGGAACACCAAACCATTGCATCCACAGATTAAAGAGGAAAAATCCATTGCATGCGAAGTAATGCACCCTATAAAAATCTTGTGAATTTATATGCATGATTTTCATTGTAATGTACCTCAAACCTACATTACAATCATTTGTACCTCTCAACTAACAGAGAACAAGTTTCTAGAATCGAACACTCACACCATGATACTCTACAGATCAAACTGCATCAACCCAATCAACGGTAACACAATTCTAACCACAAAATACAACATGGTGGAACACAAAAATGGTCAAAAAATATCGAATTTATTTCTATAATCATTGCAGCATTCACTTTTCTCATATGAGAAGCAATGAGAAAAGCGTCCATCCAGTAAAATCCAAATTCTAACATTTTGCCCTCCTTACCCACAATTCCTCGGCAACCAAACAGCAAATAAGTAAAACACAGTTAAAAACAGTATCATAGCAAGGACACGTGAGAAAAATAGTCTCATCTATAATGTACGAAAAGAAAAGGTAACTTATTTGTTATTCCGAACTAACTAAATTTGTATTTTAATAGTATTAGTAAGTAATCAACTAATTTAATTAGCAAGTATGCTAGAGGCACCAACTTTGGGCACCAACTTGGGCACCAATTCTCTAATAGAGCGTGGGACCCGGTGTATTGACGGGCTCCACCTCTATTAGAGAGTTGGTGCCCAAGTTGGTGCCCAAAGTTGGTGCCTCTAGCACCACTCTTTAATTAGTTAGTTTCTGGAAGCGGTTTCTTCACGTGACGTATGTAGATTTTTAAGCTTTCCCGGGCTGGAGAGGGTATAAAAGTAATTGCGCTAGCTATTTTGGCTGTAAATCAGCAAACCCACCTTCCCCAAGAAACTGTCAGAAGAAACCCATGGAATTTGCTCTGCTTTTTCCCGCCTTTCCAAATTTTTCATCCACTTTCTCGGGAAATGGAAAATGTCTGCGAAGCTTTTCTGATCTTCTGCCAACTCGGTAAGTGTCATTTCATTATTTTATCTGTCGTTATCTTTCTAGCATTTCTGATTTACGGTTTTGATGATCAGCCTCTTCATCATTTGTTGTCCTTTCTCAGATCCGCCCAATTTTATTCCACTTTCCTGAGAAACGCTGTATATCGATATTTTCGTCGATATTATCGCGATAATGTCGGAGACAATAATTTCGTACTCATTCATGCTTTATTTGGGCAATATATCGCGATATTATCGCTACACGATTAAAACTGAAAAATAAATTAAATTGGTTGAGAAATGATGCTTTTGCCAACAAGGGGATTTGAACCACTCTCTTTCTCATTCATCTACTGGGCCTTATCCAACACGCTGTGAATGAGTTTGTTAATAATGTTACGATGTGTAATATTTATATGGTCTTAAAAATTTCTGCAAGCTAATATTATCTAGGATAAATTTCCATTTAAAAAAAAATCCCTAATGATAAATTTAGGCATATGTTTAATTTTATTTATTATTTTATTATGGAGTTTTTTTTTGGTTATATATTATGGAATTGTATTATTATTCACTATTGAGTTTTAATATTGTTCATTATATGTGATACTAAGTTTTAACTTTAATAGGAATTTTTTTTATGTGGTACTAGTTAGTATATTTTTTTATTTTTTTTTTTTTTTTTTTTTTTTTTGTCTCATATATCTATATCATATGCAATATATTGTAGTAAATTATTATTAACTAAAAAATTATGGTGCGTTTAATTTTCTTTCACTAATTACTACATATTTTCTAAAGACACGGTGTTTGTTAAGTCGCTGCATAATCAACTTAAATCACTCTAACCCACCATGCCATGCATTTTATTCCAATTTTTTGTGATAAAATAATAGACAATTGACTAAATAAACATCCTCTAAAGTTTCAATAAAAATTTCCAAGTTTTTCTTACAATTTCCGTAATTTTTATCGATATCGATATTTTCTCGATATTTCCATCGATATATCCATGTTTTTGGACCACCGATATTTCCGAAACTCTCAATATGGTAGACCTTGCTCAGGAAAATGTCTCTAACACAGTGAATTTCGGTAACATGTCCATTAAATAACTGGATATTTTGTTCGATTCAAAGCGTTTCTTGTTCTAATTCTTCATCGATTTTTAGAGGCACTGCAACTTTCCCGAGAAACTCTACTTTCTTGGGAAAACGTCGGGATCGCATGCATGCAAGTGGCTTTGGGATTGTAAAACCAGGTTAGCAAATAGTCATTAGCTATATTTTCTCTGCATGTTTTATAGAGTAGAGTCTGATATGGTTTTCATAATATTCAGAGACTTTAGGCATTCTAGAGTTCCGACTTGAGGAGATACTAGAATTTGCTGTTCCTGAACCCACGCTCTGCTATCTCAACTGTCTTACTTTGACAAACTCCATATACTCTTGGAAATCCAGGTATCAGACCACCAGAGATCTGAGGCTTTGTTCAGAAAAATTATATGCACTCTACAAAATACATGAGAAGATTTCGGCCACCGTAGATGACAAAACCTGGAACCCGGCGTACAAGCATCTCGTTAATGGCTTACCAGATGTGGGAACCGAATTAAATCAGACCATAGGTCAAATAATTCCTTCCATTTGGGGATTATTTGACCTAATTGGGAATTACTCAACCTAATTGGGAGTTACTCAATTTAATTGAGGATTACCTAATTAAATTGAGAATTTATTTGATTTATACCTCAATTCCTAATTAAATGAGGAGTTATCTAATTTAATTAAATTAGGATTTGATTTGATACCTACCACAATTAGGGACTTGATTTACCCTAATAAATCAAATCCCTAATTAAGCAAATCAATTCCAAATCGGGGAGGAATAATTCTTTTCCATCTACCACTATAAAAGGATGGCCACACACAAAGGTGAAGGTATGTCTAAATTCTTACTGAAACTCTACAGAAATCATTTCTCCAAAACCCTAGCCACCATATTCTTTCTCTCTCTGACACAAGGCTCCGGTCACCACACACGGCTCTAGCCACCCGATTTTTCTTGAAATACCCTACCTAACTTAGGCATCGGAGGGCCTTTGGACAACACCCCCGGTGTGGTCCTTTTACCCCGATCTGTTTTGCAGGGAGAAAGAGAAGTGGAGAAAACAAAGGAATCTGAGACGAAATTTGCTAACACACCAGACATAATGAAAGTAGCGGATGTCGTGGTGGAGCACAAGAACGACATCATCAACTTGCAGACGTTTCTTTCTCTCCTACTGAATCCAGCGGCAAGTCAGAAGATACTGCCAATTTTTGTGCAAATTGTCAACTGGAAAATAAAAAAGGTGATCATTGAAAATGATACAGGAGAGGAGATTTCGTTGAATAAAGAAGCAAAAAGGACATTTGGACACAAGATTAAGGTCGTGTGTAAGGATTCGGAGTACCTTGCCTAAGTTTTAGATGTGAACTCTACGGCTATAGAACTGATAAGTGACATGAAATGGTTCATGTTCTGTACGGAGTTAGTTTTCTTCACAATAAAGTAGTAGTTCTAACACTTGAAAAATCTGTTGTCCCTCTGCTTCCTGGTATTTATTTTACTTCCATTCTCCCTTGGCATAACTTTGTGTGAACATGCTTGGTAGAAGCTTCTTTTTTGCTCTCTCTCTCTCTCCCTCTAATGAGCATTTATTGTTCTGGTTACATCTCTTTCAGGCTAACAGAAACGTCCTGATATATTGATCCTTTAATTTTTTTTTCTTTAAATGCTATTCCACTTCACAAGCAAACAAAATGCGCATCTTGATTATGAATATAATCTCTCTGCCTCAATCTTGCATTTCGTCACTTATTTAAATGCCAGGTTTTACAAAATTTTATCATACTAGTAGGATTATAATCTCTTGATTCCTAGATGATCCAATATAATCATGGGAATCGTTCGACAATGTGGAACCATTTTATTGTCATTGCTCGCAGGGTAGTTTTGTTTGTCAGACTGCTACTAGGAATATAATTTTATTGAAGCACACTTCGATAATCAAGCAGTCAAGCATCAAAATTTTCTCTTCTACACATATAGTCATTGTGGACTTCTAGTTGATCTGGATTTGCATGCAATTTAAAACTGGAAATGAGATTTCCAGGGATTTTTCCTTGGAAGACTTGCTTATATCTGTGAAGGAATGTGGCACTGCTGCAAGAGGAAATGAAGCAAAACAATCAAGGATAACCCCTGCAGCTTCAAATAATTTTGACCGAAAACACTCTGCCGCTTCAAGAACTCATCGTGCCATGTAGGTCTTCATCCTCAAATTTATTCAGTTCATTTTTGTGTTTTCGCTTATTTTTCATAATTTGCAAGTTCATGCTTCATACTCTACAGAAAGGATAAAAGACAATGGAGGTGATATCAATTCAATAGCATCTAATTAACCTGTTAAAAGTTGACAAGTTTTAGTGATGTAATCAATCTCAATGCCGTGCGATTTATGATGCCTCCTTGTCTCAACTTCCATAAGTAACTCTTTTGTATTACTGTCCCTGTGTTTTCATGGTTTCTGGGTGATATTGAATTGTGGATACTTCATAGTTGTTCCCTTTTACTTTTTCTGTTTATTACTCAGTGAATTTACTGGCACATTACTGGTATTGCCTTCATCCAGTAAGGGGAGAGGAGATTCTATTTTGCCCAGTATCCATTGGCATTAATACTTGTAGAATAGAAGTTGCTTCATATGCAGAAAAAGAGCTGTAATTATTATATGATGTTCTTTAACCGGCTACTAATGGGATAGTGAATGTAAAATGTTTTGACTCATAAATAACCTTAATATTTCAAGTAACACCTCATATAGGATTGCTACCAGGAGAACAGAGTGATATCAGATCCTTGATTAATTAACGTTAATTTTTTTTGTTATGCCTCGTTGGAACTATCACTATCTTGTAATCCTTAAAATGCTGTTTTGGATGCTTTAAGAAATGACACTTTTGTTGAACCATTTTGTCTCATTAGGGTACAGATTCATTGCTACCAATGGAGATGGTTGAGCATCTCAGAAAAGGCATTGGTGCGAAAGGGCAGGTTTTCCCTACACTTTTTCCATAACCTTATGTTTGATGTGGGGAAATGAAAAAGTGAAATACACAACCGTAGCTTCTTTGGACCTAGTTGCATAATATCTATATAACAAACCAAAACTGTATAGTTTTTCAAATTAAAATATATGTGGGTCTGGCATGCTGTCATGTTTCTAGCAGTAAGTACATGGCAAGTTCTGCTAACCACAGCACCATGAAACTGTGGATGCAGGTAGTGCATGTTGAAGACATAGGTGCTCGGAGACCTGTTTATGTAGAAGTTCCACATGAACTATCTGAAAATATGAGATCTGCACTTCACAGTATTGGAATCATGCAACTATATAGCCATCAGGTATGGATGTTTTCGAGGCTATGGGGCACCATCTTCCTGAAGAACACCAATTGTTGAATGTGTTTTAGCTTTTTCTTTTCTTTTTCATGATATTTATAGGCAGAGTCAATACAAGCCTCACTTTCTGGGAAGAATGTTGTTGTGGCAACAATGACATCCAGTGGGAAATCTCTTTGCTATAATTTGCCCGTCTTAGAAGTTCTGTCGCAGAGTTCTTCATCATGTGCTCTATACTTATTTCCAACGAAGGTTTGTTGCATATGTGTTTGCATATTTATGAATGTGAAAATCATTATCCTTGGAATTGCTTTCGATAACAAATAAGTTTTACATAATTCCCAATTGTTTATGCACACAGGCTTTAGCTCAAGATCAACTAAGAGCTTTGTTGGCTATGACCAAAGGATTTGATGGTAGCTTAAACATTGGTGTATATGATGGTGATACTACTCAGGAGGAGAGGACATGGCTGCGCCGTAATTCTAGACTGGTATTTGGTTAAATGATGATTGTTGACAGTTTTCTTAGCTTGAATCCTCTTCGAAGTTTATGATGGGCTTCTTTATCTGCTTGAATGCAGCTAATCACGAATCCAGATATGTTGCATGTATCAATCCTACCACACCAAAGACGATTTGCGCGGATTTTGGAAAATATTAGGTATTGTCTCTTGCGACTGTCATGAATAGTTTCTGAAACTTGGTGACTCATCAATAGTTGTGTGAGTGTGTGTGTTTGCATGCCATTTTTTATATTTGAATTCTTTTTGTGTCTTATCTTATGATATAAATTTGAACTGGCTGTTTGAGCAATATGTCGTTATTATTAGTATATTTATTACATTAATTATACAGAGATTTACTTCATATTTAATTCTTTCGGTTTGTAGTCATTGATGAGGCACATATTTATAAGGGAGCATTTGGTTGTCATACTGCTTTTATCTTAAGGAGACTTCGACGGCTCTGCTCATATGGTAAGATCTTTCCCTTAGAGTTTGCCAAGGATGAGATTGTTCACTATTGGATTCTTCCATTCAAATTGAAAATCAATACCTGTCTGTTTCTATTTGCAGTGTATGGAAGTGATCCTTCTTTTGTGTTTTCAACTGCAACTTTGGCAAATCCTCACGACCATTGTATGGTAAGATTTGTTAATTATAATTACAGATTAATCCTCTGTTGTGTTTTACAAATTTTGGCTTTCATGGTTCTTATTTTAAGACTTTCATCTGGTACTTTCCCCCATCTATCTTTATTTTTTTAACACCAAAAATATTTTCGGTGCTATGGTTTTTGTGGAATATAGAGGGCCATGCATTTTAGATTAGCCTGATTTAGTGAGTGAAAGAAAAGAGCAAGGAGGAGGTGGTCTACTCACTGACTTTGCCCCTATTTCGAACTTTTTTTTTTGGTTGATTGCTATAGCACTTTGTATCAGCACATGACGTGGGTGTTTGGTAAGGAAGCTCAACTTGCTCCAGTTTTGGGGTGTTGGGAAGACATTTAAATAACCTGGTTGACTTCTGTGACGCACACCCGCATTTGTGTAACTTGGTGGCATTGCATTGTTATGTTGCTGATACAAGTGATCAATTTGTTAATTATCTTGGTTTCTTTTTCTGATGCTAATTATATATAAATTAAAAGGATGACTATTCTAATTCTTCAGGAACTTGCAAGTTTACCAACTTTAGAGCTGACTCAGAATGATGGAAGTCCTGCTGCTAGAAAGCTCTTCATCCTTTGGAATCCTTTTGTGGATCAAGAAACTGTTGGTGTTCTGTAACTGTTATGGTGCCCAATAACTTTGTGATAAAATCATCTGTTAGTTTTCTAAATCTTGATGTTTCATCATTACAGGTGATGAAGAATCCCAATAATATTATGGAAAATGGTAAATCTTCTGATGAAAGTGCCAACTTCAAAAGCTCAAGGTAACAGCTTGTCACATGTATATAGCAGTGGAGAATGAGAATATTGTTTTAATAATTATGATTTTGGTTTAGAGGTCATATTAAATCCGGGTTAACGATAAAAATAGCTTGACAAGTTTTTCTGATGTGGTTTTCTCATCTCTGGAGACCACAGTTTGAATTTCTCTTTTCTTCTTTTCCCAGGAAATTGCTTGAACATGTATGATGGCCCCTCAGCAGTTGGTGGATTTACCACCAAGCTGTCTTCACAAGGGCAGTTTGACTAACTTGGTTTCTACCAATAACTACATGGCTCTTATAGCTCCTGTTAGAAATACATGCAGTGTACTCCATAATGAACTAGTGTTAAGTTTCGTTTGACCATACCATGCTATACACACCTACTGCCTTATAGTTCTGGTGCTTGACTTCTGTTTCATTATTTTCCAGGAAAATAATTTGCAGTTTTCTTTTTGTTGTTTTGTAACCTCAATAACCGAGGCTGAAATTATCTTTGCAGCCCGATTTTTGTTGTTTCATGCCTCTTAGCTGAAATGGTACAGCATGGACTACGCTGCATTGCTTTCTGCAAAACACGCAAGCTTTGTGAACTTGTATTGTGGTATATGTAAGTATCATCGATTTTGTGGAGTTCAGTACTCCAATTCTACATGACATGATTTATGGCATTTTTTGCCTCGGGCGTTTGCCATTTATCTGGTGCTATGGAGAGCTAAATGATGAAATGAATAAATATTATTATGCTAGGCGTGAAATTCTTGAGCAGACAGCTCCCCATCTGGTAGACTCTATATGTGCTTATCGTGCTGGTTACATTGCTCAGGTTAGTGAGCTATTTGCCCGCATTTATTTCTGTCATTTGAAATGCAGTCTTTGTGGAAGAGAACCTTGGAGTGGTTACTTCTTTTTGGTTGAAATTTAGATTGTTGAACCATTACGTTTTTTGTGCTCTCAATATTCACAATCATAGACTGCAATCAATAGGGGGAATCAGCTATTATCTAGATTATTCCTCTGTTTACTTAAAAGTTCGAAATTATTCTGCCTCATTGAAGCTGATAGACATTATTGTCTCTCTCTCTCACCCCATATATAAGAAAGATACAAAGTAAAAGAGAGTATGTGATGTATTTATGTGATAGTACTTTCTTCTGTTTCATAGTCTGTGCAACTTTGTTACTGACAATCAATGTATATATGCTGTTAATGTCTTGTTTAGTTTGAACAGCCTTCTGACAGCATTTGCTTGACTGGTGGAGCAGAATAGGAGAAGAATAGAGAGTGATTTTTTTGATGGAAAGCATTGTGGTATTGCTGCAACAAGTGCCCTTGAATTGGGTATTGATGTTGGATACATTGATGTAACTCTTCATTTAGGTTTTCCTGGTAGTATTTCTAGGTAGGCTTCCAGTTAATCCTGTTCCCACCAGTGCTTTAACTTATTGCTCAAATTGTTTTAATTGAGTATATTTGTTGTTTATTTTTTTCCTCCTCTTCTATGCATGTCTGAAGCTTGTGGCAACAAGCTGGCAGAGCCGGGAGGAGAGATAGACCTTCTCTTGCTGTGTTTGTTGCTTTTGAAGGGCCTCTTGATCAATATTTTATGAAATATCCAAAGAAACTTTTTGGAAGCCCAATTGAGTGCTGTCATGTTGACGCTAAGAACCAACAGGTTATAAATTTTCTCATATTCCTTTCATTTATCCATGTCTAATTTGTGTCTAGCGAATTGGCAATATTGATTTTATGCTTCTTGATACCTTATTCCTTGTAGGTTCTTGCACAGCAGTTGGTTTGTGCTGCTCACGAATATCCACTGACTTTGTCTTATGACGAGAAGTTTTTCGGTTCTGGTTTAGACAGTGCCATAGTGTCTCTTAAGAATAGAGGATATTTGAGTTATGATTCATTATGTAATTCTTCTGCTAACATAATGTTTTTCTGTGAAATATATTTTTTGTTGTTGTAGAAAATGCCTTCACATTCAGTTAGTATACGATCAATAGAAACTGAGAGATACAAAGTTATAGACCAGCAAAAGAAAGAAATCCTTGAAGAGATTGAGGAGAGCAGGGCTTTTTTTCAGGTAAAATTCTAATGCACATCTATAATACATTTTCTACCTTACCTTGTTGGAAACCTATAAAATACTTTGTACGCTAGTTTTTTTCCCCATTTATCTCTTTATGAATTTACATTAGATCATTTTATCCTCATACGTTTAATCCAGGTATATGAAGGTGCTGTTTATATGAACCAAGGAAAGACGTATCTGGTCACAAGCTTAGATTTATCACGTAAGATTGCTTCGTGCTACGTGGCTGATTTGAAGTATTCATGTCATCGGCAGTAAATATGTATGTCAGATTCTTAACTTTTTAAACGAATTCAGAATTTAGTCCTTAGTTGCTTGGTAAAGGCCCTCATCTACGGTAACTTGCAAGCAGCCGTTTTGTCTTTTGCCTTGTACTGGCCAAGCATCTCGGCTACAGTTCTGCATCGGCTCTGGTTTCCTGGCCGAATCACATCACCGTACACAGCCATTTCAATTATGTCAAGCTCCTTATCTGCAAGTTAAAAGAGATTCATGATTCTGAGATGCATGTCTCACCAGTTCTAATAGCTGCTACAGGAACGAGAACGTGTCGAAGGCTAGTGCATACATCTGTTTTTTATTTTTTATTTCAACCAAGCAAATCACATTTATGTTGACTCAAGCAGATAGGCTATCAGAAGTTTGGATGGTTATTTCTAAAACGTATGACTATGATGACATCAAAGTTCAATAGCTAGTAGTAATTAAAGACTTCAGACTCTTGCAAGATCTAAATTTCTCAGGAACGAGCAAGAAGGATTCAAGGATATAAGGAAGGATCAGGGAAAAGGGTTGTTATGAGAATAATGGCAGGAAGTAGTTATGAATTTCAAGCGAACATTTTGCTATCAGAAACAAGTTCTAAGTGAAGGTATAGCTTAATCTACTATGTGTCGTTTTCACATTGAATACAAGTTAGACAACGTACATCCCAATTCCCAAGTAAAGAAATATGCTCCATTCTGTTTAGATAATTGATCATAATTTAGTGTCTTCTGGATATAAAGCTCAGAACTTTTTCACAACTAATTAAAATGCATACCAGATACCAGAACCTAAGTAAATTTGTACTTCCAACCTAAGTAAAAGTTTAGGTGCAACTCAACAAAGACCAAACTAACCAAAGTCAACCCTTCATTCTGTCCCCAGAAATCTAACCCACAATACTCTTATCGCATCTCCATTGGGAACAATGACCTGACTAGAACATTTACAAAGCATTGGACATATTGAGACATAAATCCCAAATACCATGACAAACACTACCAAGGTATATATGGACCTAAAACAAATATTCTCATTGTGACTATCCCTTCGGACTTTAGACCAGAAAAACAGTTCAAAATCATGATGAATGCTTTTGGGATGATACTTGAAATAGTTATCAATGGAATATAGGAGCATCAGAACTAAACTTCTACAATTACGTAACATCACGTAGATTCACGAAGCACCTTCTAAACTTTGATTATAGACATGGACAGTAGAAACCAATGACATAATAAATTAGTTATGTGAACTTTATTTTTTGTTTGGATTGAAAGTCATCTGCACTCTTTACTTGAAAACATTTTAGTAATGTTCCCCCTAGAAGCAATAGATACAAACCATGAGAACAAAATGGTGTTTACAATTCAATGACCAAAACTATTTTGCTCAACCCAATAACCAGAACATGGAAAGTATAAGCTAAACAGAACGGAACATAGAATCTAATATTAATAGTGAACAAGAGAACATGGAAATCAGACCTGTAAATGACATCACAAGAGTAACCTTTCAATTGAATCTTGTCAATCTGGTCTTTGCCTGATTTGAATCTGTTCACTCTTGTTTGAAGAATCTGACAATTGTCTTCTGTGGATTCACCACCTACAACAAAATCCCAAATCTCAATGAACTCAAACACCAAATTGGTTGACAAATCAAGGCTACTCTTTGTTTATTTGGTGAACTGAGGAGTAAAGAACTAATTTTTAAAGTTTATGCCTCCACAACGCCAAGGTTTTGAAAAACTCAAAAAGTCTAAATCAAAGTAAATACATTATATTATAATGAGTCACCGAAGTCCTGTATTGTTACACTTAGGATGCCACACAGCAACACTAGTAGAAAAAAGTTAAAAACTTTTAGTTCTATATATTGTTTCTTTCCCACCATTACTCAGCACCAAGAATAGAATTTTAAAAAATAAACAGGGCAAGTAAATTTCGAAAACAAAACGCGACATGATTGCCCTAGTTCAGAAGCAAAACACAAACACCATTTATCGAAATTGAGCTCAAGCAACTAGTATATGCAATCAAAACACTAAAACAAAAAACACTCAGTTCACAAATCATCAGAAAGGATCAAAATATTGAAGCCTCCCAGAAAGAAAAGGAAACGATTCAGTCGGAAAAGAGAAAAGTTAGGACCTTTGGAGAAGGGAACTATGTGATCGTACTTGAAGCAGAGGCAGCTCTGGCAGTTGCAGAAGTGCTTACAGACAACGTTACCAGCAGCATCTTTGCGCCACCTCTCAGGGTGTCGACCTGGCACTACATCAGCCTTTGCCCAGCAATTGCTCTTTGCTTTTGAATCGAAGAAGCATGGTCTATCTTCACCCTTGCTTTTACTACTGGTACCATTATCACCACCACCACGAGAATGGTGAGGCGAAGAAGAAGAAGGTGAAGAAGAACTCATCTCTCTCTCCCCCTCTCTCTCTCTGATTGATTTGTCAAAGTGAATTGGACCAGATGAGGAACGAGGGGAAGTTTCTCTCCCAGAAGAGACTAGAGTCTAATCTAGAGAAAACTTGCCTCAAACTGGAGTAATTTGGGGTGCCAGGTCAGATGCTGACCTGGCCTCTCAATCCAATGAGATTTTAACACCTGTACTAACTGAATTTATGCCCCACTCCCGCCACTTTTTTTGTTTTTGTTTTGAGAACAGTACCTCCCTCATTCACAGCTCAAAACTCCCTCAAGCTCTCTCCTTTAGGGGGGAAATGTTTGTTTGTTTGTTTTTTTTCTCCAGTTTCCATTGAATTTTCTTAGAAACTTAAATGATGAGGATGATTGTAACCTTGTCTGATTCTTGTGAAATTCAGGAACAATGATTCTCTAACGCTCACAAGCTCTCTCTTTACCACTTGTTCAAAACAAAAAACAAAAACTTAGCTTTGTCTTTTTTTTTTCTATTCAAGTCACTGCTAGCTGCAAAAGTTTGATCTGTGACTCAAATGAAACAAAGCCCTCAAGTCTCAACCCACTTAGGCACTTAGAACGGAATCAATAGAAAACAGTCCTAAAGGCCTCTTAGTACAACAATATCAGCCATATTTACATTAAATTGCACAAAGGCTATATGCAGCATGAATTCAAACTCAACCAACATTACCACACAGATCAGAAAACAAATACAAAGCAGTTTCGGATTCTCTTTGATTGAGCACAAACTGATTATAAAGCACTTCTTGCATCAAAACTCAAATCCATTCCGCGCATATATATTCCATCGATCACAATAGTAGAAACAAGCTACACAAGCCCTACCAAACTAATAGTAGAAACAAGCCACAAACTATCTTGAGCTCAAGTAAGGTTAAAAAAACGACCCAAAAAACAGGGAGGAACAAACACACGACACCCACTAAGATTTTTTCAGGTTTTCACAAAACCCCTAAGATTTCAGATATTACATTAGTACCTCATGAGGTTTCAAATTGTTTTCAAAAAATCATTTTCATGAATTTTCGTCCGAAATTGCTGATATCATCAAAAAATTACTTTGCACGACAAAAATAACCTCAAAGATTAGATCTTAGAGGGAGTATGAGTCATCTAATCTTCGAAGTTAGCTTTGTCATTTGGAGAAATCTTTTAATGATATAAGTAATTTTTGAACCGAAAATTAACAAGAAGGATCTTGTAAAAACAGTTTAAAACATTAGAAAGTGTTAATGTAATTTCTCAAACCTTAAAGAATTTTATAAAAAGAGGAAAGACCTAATAAGGTGCCAATGTAAATAACTCTTATTAAACAAAAGCCTTTGAGCCAATGCAATCAAACATTCATGCTGAGTAAGTTTTTAAGCAGAAATAATAGTTCATGAAATTTACATGCAAGCCCAAGCCAACTAACTTTCTGGCCTCCATGAGGTCACCTGACCACTCTTGTCCCTCTATGCGTCCACCACTGAGTTGTTATATGCAGTAGCATTCATCATTAAACCACATTATTATCCACGTTTTCCACATAAGGAACTTGCTTAAGAGCCACATGTAACTATAGATCCTATATGATAAATAATTAAATGATATTGATGCACTACTTTTTCAAATTCAATACCAAAGCCACAGAAGAAAGTCAGGTTTCCTAAATTAGTGGCAAATAAAACATGATTTTTGATAAGTAACCAAAAGTTCGCACTTCATGTTGCAAATAACTTTAGAGGCTTTCCAAATTCAAAGTATTTTGTTCTAACTAATGCATCAAGGACCCAAAACGATATATCGAGATGACCTAGCCGGAGAAGAAAAGCATATTGCAATTAGGTTAGTATTCTATTGTGACTAGGGTTATACAGTATTTTAAAAATGAAGCAATGAATAAATTGATATATTGAAAATTAGACTTCTTAAAATATGTCTCTTCAAATTTACAAAGATTCAAAGAAACAACTTGAACACGTCAATGAATATGAATGAGAAACATATGAAAGATAAAAACGAAAGAGTATCAAGCATTTGTTACAAATATGTACACATATCATGGTTTGTAATGAAAGTTTACAATCATAACAAAACTGCCAAATAAAAATTCCAAAAGTTCCATAACCAAAACAAGATATAAAGAATGAAGGTCAAAAGAAAACGACACCTTTTTGTTTGTTTCGGAGACGTTTTGGCAGGGTGGCAACTTAAGGGACATTCTGTAGCATATTAAAGTCATTTTTAATTGTTACAAAAATTAAAGCCTTTCTGTTTGCAGAAAATTAGCAAGCTTATTTGCTCCATTGAAATTAAAGTTAGAGAAGACATAATCAATGCAAAATATTCAACATCAAAAGTCCCTTCAGTATGCCTAAAAGAATGAGAAACAAAATCTTGTCTGATTCTTGTGAAATTCACCATTATATTTGGTGGAGGATAACTCCAAAATGCCAAGGATCAAAGCTATGAATTTGAGACCAGATTCTATTAATATTTAACATATTAATAGCAACTGAAGTTTATGTTTCAACACTTTGACATTGTTTCTCAAATTATAGGAGCTCCTTATTAGACTATCCAAAGCATGCATAACAAAATATAGAAAAGAGACAGACACAGAATATGAACACATTCAAAACATGTTGATGTGGCTTAAAGCATGTTACAGAATTAGTATGAATAAGGGCTGTGATATCAACAATCCTAATCCAATTTGGAATTTCACGATCATATATAGCCATTGCAGCAACCATATTTTAGTTCTTCTCCCCTGTACTTCAAATAAGAAACAAAGTATGTAATCTTGTTTCTAATCTTCCTTCCAGTGCCCAAAAACCATATAATCTTCAAGTTTTGAATCTAATATAATATAATATAAAATCTAATCCATCCCCAATCATTACATATACCAATAGTTTTCACCTTCAGAACAGAAAATATTGCTAGCTAGCTAGCTACCTAGAAAATAACTCAACTCTAACATTCAATTCAACTAAACTAAAACGGATGATGCATGCAGGATGATGATTTGAAATGTTGCTCAAGAATCTCTAGGCACAGGGTAGGCTATATATCAGTGCTACATAAAAGTTAGTAAACTAATTAATTAATATTCTACCTAATTGATGAAACCATATCATCAGATTAGATCATCAATACCTCAAAGTATGAAGTTTCAGTCCACCACACGGAGAGTTTGATACTCTTTGTCAGCGATGGCTGCTTCCATGAGTTGGTGCGGGCCAATTTCTCCACCATTGTCCAAGAATAACTTGCTCAAATTGTCGGAGAAGCCACTCAAGAGAGTCAGCTCCGGATGAGGTTCTTCTATACTAGGCATGTTTAAGTCAAAAAGAACCCAAATCAAAACTTGTGGGATTGCATCATCCTCATACCCTTGCTCCTTAAACTTGGTGCGTACTACTACTTCCTCATACTTAGTCTTCCAGTGGCAGCCGGATGCAAAGTCGGTGAACACAAACACCTTCTTGATCATCTGCTCTGCCTGTAACTTCTCATTCACAGCCACTTCCAGAATAATATCACAGGCCTCTGGAAAATTAACAGCAAAGCTGAAATTTTGGCATGTTTGCATCATAAACTTGCGCATGGACTTGAGATCATTGCCTTGTATCGAACGCAGCAGCAGCAGCTCATAGGGTGAATCACCGAAAGTGACCACCATTCCTTTCCATGGCTCTTCACTCAGTTCAGATACCACAAGTCCCAAACTCAGCGCCAATAATCTGTGATTGCCAAGCATATCTTCGAGGAGACACATTGACAAGCATATCTGTGAGGAGACATATTGCCAAGCAGTTTTTAAAGTTGCCCAAACCCTTCCCCTGTTTTGCTGCTGCTTTATGTCCTCCACCATTGCCTTCCACTGAAGCTCAGCCGCTTCCCTGAAATCCGCATAGCAAGCATAGTTTAATGATCTCTCTTGGAACCAAAGCATTCGGCTTTATTATGCCAATGCCGCCTCCTCCTCTTGCTGCTGCTACTTGCACCTCCTCCAAATACTTCTCAACCTCATAGCTCCTCTGCCTGTCACTGTTAACTGCGGTTTGAAGATGCCACAACTTCTGCTTCTCAAACACCCAGCTCCAGCGATGGTCAAACATTCCTTGACGATACCAATAATTGCGCAAGGGCGCCAAAACCAATTTCCTAAACTTCTCCCACTCTTCCAATTCATAGATTGATCTGATTCGGGTGTGAAAAGCCTCTTCGCAATGCTTTCACACAGCAAAATGGAGCGGGCGGCGTGAGAGGCCGTGGGGTGTTTGGTAACGAAACACGCTGCAGCCTCGGTAACGAAACGATGAGGATCAAAAGTAGTACCTTCATCATCTTCTTCTTCCTTGAACTCATCCTCCTCGTCCGTTAAGTAATCGGATGGCTTAAGTTGCAGCTTGTGATGCATTATTTTGTCAACATCAGACTCCAAGCGCTCCATCAATAGATCCATAACCAAGTCGCGTAACAGCTTATAGTCCGGGTCACTGTGGAGCCGCTCCGCCGCGATGTCTTGGCCATGATCTCCTAGAAGGCGGTAGAGAATATCTACAACTTCCCATAAATTCCCCAACGAACCGGAAAAAGAGGGGAGATTGCACGCTAGCGTCTTGGGGTGATTTCGTCCACACACAAACAAGCGTCATGGGGTGATTCTGGTGGAGTCAAAACGCCGCCGTGTAGAAGGCTTCCGCGTACCCTTTTCCCGTACAAAAACCGCTAGAGTTAAGGCTGAAGATATATATAGTATCAGGCGGCTATACTTCTCAAATACATTCGTATATTTAAATAGCATAGCAGAGCGGCTATACTTCTTAAAATTATTCGAATATTAAAATAGTATAGCCGGACGGCTATACGTCTGAATGAACTTCGAATATTAAAATAGTATCGCCGTGCGGCTATACCTCTTCATTATTTTCGAATAATAAAATAGTATCGCCGAACGGCTATACTGCTGAAATATTTCAGTATATTTAAACCGTATAGCCGCCCGGCTATACAGTTTTAAAATATTCTAATATTAAAATGGTATACTGGCTATACGTCTAAAAAAATTCGTATATTTATGTATTATAGCCGCACGGCGATACTTCTTAAATATATTCGAATATTTAAATAGTATAGCGGCTCGGCTATACTTCTTTAAAATATTCGTATATTTAAATAATAGCACAGCCGCTCGGCTATACTGCTGAAATTATATTCCGATATTTGAATAGTATAGCCGCGCGGCGATACTGCTGAACTATTTTTGAATATTAAAATAGTATAGCCGCGCGGCTATACGTTTTAAATATGTCGTAAGTTTCCCATAGTTCCATGTTCCAGAAATGCTCACAACCTCATGTATTTTATCATGCATAGATTGTGGATCAAAATTATCGTAAGTTTCATCTTCATTTTGCCACAAATCTACACCGCCAATGTAGCTTCCAATATTTGCAACAAGTGCACCTTCGGCATCCTGAAAATGTGTCTAAAAGTCCAGCACTGATAATCTCAAAATTGCCAAAGCTCAAGCAATACGGTGATGATTTCTGAATCAACAACTAAAGTGTTGTGTCTTTATGGTTAAAATCTTTTCATACGTACTCACCTCAGGACCTCTATCTCAACACCATCTACTTCAACTCGAACTTGCCAAGGAAAATCCACAAATGTTCTATCCATTATACCCTTAGCACCTTCTCTTGCATAAAGGACTCTATTCATGAACTGCAGGTATATAACAATTGCAACAACATAACTGATGTCAACAGCTTAAGTAGGAAGTCTCTCGCATAAAGGACTTTATTCATAACTACAGAGAGAGACCACCACAACTAGAGAGAGAACAGGAGAGAGAGACCACAACTACAACTACAACTAGAACTAGTACAGGAAGTAAGAGACCAAAGACCTTCTTTAAATATTACCCAAAAGCCACTTGTAACTTGTAAGATCTACATCGATCTATATACTTTCACACACCAAAGCAAAGTCAGATAGATTAAAAGAAAGCTGGACTGGAGCATTCAACACGTTTCCAAACACACCTTTCAAGGAATGAAAACCACTTATCAAAGACTACCCATCTCACTAAATCTAAAACACACAGAAAACAGAAGAAGAAAAATCGGTTTTGCATAAAAACAAAGTTCTATTTTTGGTTCATGTGCCACTACACAAACAGCATGTCTTAGTTGGTACTTTTCCATGGCATGTGATGTGATGTAACTGAGTTTTACCATAGCTAGTGAAAAGGAAGCTTCAAAGTGCAGAAAGGACGTGCTTGGTGGGGTTTGGAGAATGTTTGAGTAAGATGAAGGCCATGGGATTGCAATTTATGCATATAAAATTGAAGAAAAGTGATAGCTGATGATGACCTTGATTCAGAAACAAATGAGAAGATGCCCACAAATCAGCACAAAGAAAATTAAAGTTGGTGATGACAAAGTGTGAAGTAAACTACAAATGCAACCAGACTCAGAGGAGCAGAGGCAGAGCAGCAGGATTGCATATTTATTAAGTTACCTCACTTAACAGGATTTGCATACATTCTTTTTTTTTGGGTAACAAAGAGGGCTAAGCCCAGACAACAACTAAATATAAATAAATCTAGACCTTAAAAGGCCATCCCTATCTTTTTGGAGGACACCAATAAGACCACTAGGAGGCAAAACAAAGCAATGAATACCCATTTCCATCTCATGCCCCATCTTGGCCAGAGAATCAGCAGCAAAGTTAACCTCCCTGAATGTGGTCCAACAAGTACATGATTGTGGTCCAACAAAAAAAAAGTACAAGAATGTGGAAAATACAATCTAATTTCTAAATTCTAAATTAATAATGAACTTTATAAACAATACAAATACGTGTTATCATTTTAATGGACTTGTAACACAATGTAAGTATTACCTTCATGCCGCAACAATTGTTTGTATATAAATTCATCTCACATGCTGCTTGTGACATAATAATATATAGGTTTCATGGTTTGAAATCATTCCATTTGTAGCACTTCACACGAGTTTATATATGGGCAAAATTGAGGGGATTCTTTAGCATAATGAATCATGTTTGTTTACAAGAAGAATTACAGAAATAAAGTTTGAGTATGAAATAAAATTACTTTGCAAACTATGTTACACTTTTTTGACAGAAACTAGAATTTAAAATCAAAATGGAGGAGGGGAACCATAATTGAAATCCCCTTGGGTGCTGGATATCTTGATTAGCATAGCTAACACCTCCTTCATGTTTGGTCTTGACTGTGGTGCCTCGGCTGTGCACTTTATGCCAACCTTAAGCAGCTCACACATCTCCTCTGCCCCATCAAGAAGCCCAGACCCCATTAGCATAACTGGTATCACAGACCTATTGAATCCTAGCCGTCCATTTCCCATTACCCTTCTTGCCCATTCTACAAGGCACTCCTCTCCTCCATCCACTGCCCTCCTCCCAGTTGCCAACTCCATTGCCAGCACTCCATAACTGTACACATCCCCTTTCGTTGTGGCTTGCCATGTCTGCCCATATTCTGGTGCAACATAACCAACTGTCCCTGCCACCATTGTGCTCACATGACTATCCCCTGCATCCACTATTCTTGCCAACCCAAAATCTGTAACTCTAGCCTTTCCATCCTTATCCAGCAGCACATTGCTAGCCTTCACGTCCCGGTGCACGATTGCAGGGAAGCACTCGTGGTGTAGGAACACCAAGGCTCGAGCCACATCAACCGCCACATCAACGCGTCTGCGCCATGTTAGTCTTACTCTATCGGACACAAGATCCTCCAAGCTCCCACCTTCCATGTACTCATAGACTAGTATTTTTTCTGATCCATAAAGGCACCAGCCATGAAGAGTTACAAGGTTTGGGTGAGGCCAGCCAAAGCCATTTCCACTAAGAACCTCCATTTCAGCTCTGAATTCTCTTTCACCTTCAAGCCCTTCTCTTTGAAGCTTCTTCACGGCTACTACTCTCCCATCAGGCAATACTCCTTGGTACACCGTCCCAAACCCTCCTTTCCCTAATATCCTCTCTTCAGAAAAATTGCACGTAGCTTTCAAAATGTCAGCATGTGTAAATGCTGTTTTGTCCAAACGAATGACCTTGACGGTATCTGATAGCCATGGTGATGAACCGGTGGAACTTGAGGCCAAGTCATGCCGGTATTTGACTTCCTGCAACAGATATCCTGGTTGCTCTGCAGGGCTCTTCCCAAATAAGCAGACTACAAGTGACACAAATCCACATATCAAGACAGCAAGTAGTAGAGCCAAGACCACCATATATGCAGCAAAATTTGTAGGCTTTTTTAGGTTCACATTTGATTTCTTTGCTCGTCCATCTGTGGAGTTGTCAATGAATGGTGGAAGTTGCAGGAGGGGGTCACCAAGGTAAGAGTCTTTCTCAAATGTTGCCAATTGCCCACTTGAAGGAATTACACCAGATATGAATGGATTGTATGAAATGTTGAACTTGCTTAGTTCAGTCAAGCTGTTTAAGCTCACAGGGAAGGTGCCAGAAAAATTGTTGTAGGACATATCAAGATTCTGCATGCACTTAATATTCCCAATTTGCATTGGGATTTGGCCTGAAAAATTGTTCATACTGATGTTGAACACTACAAGTGGCAACTGACCAATCTTTGCAGGCAGTTCTCCATTGAATTTATTGAAACCCAAGTTTATCATACTAAAATTTTGCATCTTACCAATATCAGGAGGTAGCTGACCTGAAAGCTGATTCCCACTCAGTTGAAGATAACCAGAGATTTGAAGTGTTCTTACTGCAGAACCAGCAGCACATATGGGAAAGAGGCCATTTCCTTTAAGTAGCCGATCCCATATGCTTCGACAACTCTTCCTAGTGAGGATTGTATACACAAAACTGAATGGAGGGTAATCTGCAGGAATCCATCTCTTCATTGCTAAGCATTCCCCTGATCCAGCTATGATCTGATCACTGTCCAGATTATTTGTTTCAAATGTTGGCTTAACATTTTTCCCAATCTTTGTCAATTCAGATGGGATTGGACCAGAGAGCAGGTTGTTGGCAAGATTAAGCCACAACAAGCTAGTACAATTTCCTAACTCCTGTGGAATTGGACCAGTTAGCAAATTGTTTGCAAGCATCAACCACAACAGAGAGCTCAAGTTTCCTAAGGTGCTGGGAATTGCACCAGTTAGGCTGTTGAAGGAAAGGTCCAGTGCTTGGAGGGACGGAATGCTTCCATACTCTGGTGGTATAGTTCCATTGAATTGATTGTAGGCAAGGATCAAGAACTTCAATTTTGGTATTTGAGCAATTTCAACTGGTAAAGGACCTGTAAAGTTGTTGTGGCTGAGGTCTAACCTTGAAACATTAAGAAGCTTGAGAATTCCAGATGAATATATACCGCCGGTGTATGAATTCGAGTGCAATACAAGAAACTTCACCTGTCTGAATCTCCCAAAAATATCTTGTATATCCCCCCCAAAATTGTTCCTACTCAAGTCCAAGAAGGTCAAGTTGTTCAAATCCAAAAGGGTTTCTGGGATCACTCTATTGAAACTGTTGTTGCCCAAGAACAAAGCTTGCAGACTCGAAATCCTTCCAATCTCAGACGGAATTGATCCTGTAAAATTATTTCCCCAGAGATTCAACATGACCAACCTCTGGCATTTTGAAATCTCTGCTGGAACTCCACCAGAAATACCATTTTCTGACAGGTCCAAAACTACCAAGCTACAGTTATTTGTGAAAATGGACGGCAAAATAGTCCCACTAAGATAGTTTTCAGCTACTGAAAATTCCCTAAGCTTGGTGAATCCATTCCATATCTCTCCACTAAAATAGTTTGCGCTCAAATCCAAGTACTGCAATTTCAAGCAGTCATCAAAGCTGTGATCAATCCTACCAGTAAAGTTATTTTCTGAAATATTAGCAACCACCAGATTATTGCAAATTCCAGGAAAGCTCATCTGCAAACCCCCATTAAACCTATTGACAGACAAATCAAGAACCTCCAACTGATTCAATCCATTTAAGTTGAGCTCACTGTCAATAATGTTATGTGATAAATTGAGGTATTTGAGGCTGTGGCATTTACTGAGGTCTTCTGGGAGAGCTCCGCCTAGAGTGTTTGTGGAGAGGTCGAGGTGTGAAAGTGCTGTGAGTGCCGAGAAGTTTGGGAAAATCTCACCGGTGATTTCGTTGTTGGAGAGCTCAACGACACTGACTCTCGTGTCATTGTTGCATGTAACTCCATGCCACTTGCAGGGGTTGTTGCTGTGCTGGTTCCATTGTGAGTATTGGCCTTGATTTACTGGGTTATGTTGTTGCAGAAATGCTTTAAGGCTTAGCAGAACTTCTCTGTCTGTGTCTAGAGAATCTCCGGCAGCAACAGAAGCTTCTGTCAAAGACAAAAACAACAAATTTGTACTTGTTATTATAAACAGAACAGAATCCTCGAAAAACTAACCTATGATTGCCTGCACATATTTGCAGCTGTAAAGAATCATCATCGGGAAACGATCACACGGGTTTAAATTAAAAACAGAAAATAAAACTGCCCATATAAAAAAAATCTCAAAAATCTCAACATGTACCTGCTGTGATCAAGACAAGGAGGGCTAAGAATATGGAAGACAACATGACCCATGAATTAGTCTCCTTGGTTGAGCAGTGCATGATCTTCTGGCCTCTCGGATTGTTGTTTGCAAAAGCTTTGGTGTTCATCAATTGCTAGAGTCGCATGAACAATTTTCTCATAAAAACAAGAAGAAAAAAAAATTAAAGAATTATAATTTACAGGTTATGAATGTGCGTGTGGAATTTGAACATGTTGGAATGTCTTTGAAGACAGAGCCTGCATATTTACACGAAACCAGGCCTTGGAACAACGAATTTTTCTTCTTCTTTTTTTAATTATATTTAAGTGATTTAATTTAATATTAGAGAATTGATTATTGGTTGAAAATGTTAACGATGTTGGTTAATTGTGTTGATTAGTGAAAGCTCTACTATTACTAATACAAGAATTGCTTGCTGGGAATGAGGTAAGGGGCCGTTGAGCCGCCCATGTTGACCGGTTCACCTAAACCGGCTTGGCATTTGACTCAGGACTCAGGACCCGAGAGAGAGAGAGAGAGAGAGAGAGAGAGAGAGAGAGAGAGAGAAGACACACAGAAAAAAAGAGTAGTCCCGTGTCCATGTCTTATATGCTTTCACGTTTGTTTGTTTTGGATTCTAGAATTGACATTTTCTTTATTTTATTTTTATTTGTAGTATTTGGAGAAATCATATGCTATAAATAATAATATAATTGAGAAAATAAGGTTATTTTGTTGGTTGTGTTTGCTTTGCCAGCCCAAGCAAAGTTAGACAAAAAGAATAATAATTTTTATAGTCAAAGGACACCCATGGTTTTGGAATTTGATGCAAAACCTTTGAGAAAATCATAATTACCCTCACTGTAAAATTTTCTCCACATAGAAGTTGAGTTAGACCCGTTTCCTTCATGTTAAAATC